ACTCGACAAACAAACAGCTCAACGGAGATGGAAAACTCCTAGAGGATCAAACGACGTAAGTCGGTCTTCCTCCCAGAAAACGAAGTCATGTCTCGGAAGTCGCATCCGGAGACCATCGTTGGATCAAGAAAGCAAATCGTATATGGAGTGGCGATGAAGCGCACAGCGCTGTCCTACCAGGCGAATAGGACGTAGAAAGGGGGTATTGTTATGATCACGTTCTGTCGGGCCTTAACGGCGGTCTATACCAACACGATCATCACAAATATCACGCGGCCTCACAGGTTGAGGCGTACACCAAGGTACAGATATTAACCTTGGTCATCCACTCCCAACGGATCACCTTATCGTTGGTCGAGTATCACGGGCCTATTGTATTAGCGGGCATGGAACGCCGCCTTATAAATTACTCACACGCAGGGCATGAACCTCCTAGTCTTTCCTGGCCGGAAGGAGACGAACGGAGAAGCACAAGAGTAGTCGTTATTGAGAGAGACGACTTAGAGAATACCTACAGATACATATTCGGTATTCTCACGCCCTACTTCCTAAAGTAGTATAAAAGGCCCATAGAGTAGGCTGAGGTTCTTCAGTCTATTCTCTTCGTTCACTGTGGTCTTCCTACCACAGCACGCTCATCCACTGTAGCCTTCCTACTACAGTCTTCATTGCTATATCGCAATACACTTCTGGCTCCTGTGCTACACGTACAGTCGAGACCACCGTTCCACACATCCTCCACGAGTGACCTAGGGAAGAACCTCCTACTCTTGGGGTTACCGACGAGCAGTCGTAACACTATTGACCTGAAACCAACCTTCAAGCCTCAGGTGCCCAAATCTACACCTTAAGCCCAGAAAAACACAATAAACTAGGAAAATTCATCAAGAAACACCTTACTAGGGGGACCATCTGTCGATCTACTTCGCAAACTGTAGCCCCATTTTTCTTCATAGGAAAGAAAGATGGAAAACTATACCTAGTACAGGACTACCATCATCTGAACTCGCACACTATTCCAAATATGTTCCCTCTCCCACTAATCCAAGAGCTATTGGACATGATAAAGGGGGCTGTTATTTTTAGCAAACTGGATATGTGATGGGGATACAACAATATATGCATCAAGAAGGGAGATGAATGGAAAGCAGCTTTCATCACCCCGCTGGGTTCTTATGAACCCACAGTGATGTTTTTCGGCTTAACTAACTCACCAGCCACCTTTCAAGCCATGATGAACATGATCTTTAAGGAACTCATCACAGCCTAGAAGATAACCGTGTATATGGATAACATCCTCATTTTCTCCAAATCCATGGTGGAACACATTCAAGTCCTGAACCAAGTTTTCCAAATTCTATGTGACAATGACCTCTACTCGAAACCAGAAAAGTGCGAGTTTTACAAGGAAAAACTCCACTATCTAGGGTACACAATCTCAAAAGACCATGTCACTATGTAAGACTCTAAAATGGACGCAATAAAAGATTGGCCAATTCCATGCACAGTTCAAGACATTTGTTCCTTTTTAGGGAAATTTTTATAGGCGCTTCATCAAAAAATTCTTGCTTATTGCGTGCCCTCTGCATGACCTCACAAAAAAGGACAAAAAATGGAACTGGACTCCAAAGTGCCAAGAGGCTTTCGAACGGTTAAAGAAAGCTTTCATCAGCCAACCTGTTCTGAATTACCTGGATCCCATGCACCCATGCCGACTAGTAATGGACGCATCATTAATTGCCTATGGAGCTACCCTCTTACAAAAAGGAAAAGACGGTGATTGGCATCCAGTAGCTTTCCTTTCCGGGTCATTCTCACCAGCGGAATTAAATTACGACATTCACGACTGGGAACTCTTGGCCATTATAAAAGTGCTGGAACACTGGAACCACTACCTCGAAGGCGCATGACATCCCGTTGAGATCTAGATGGACCACAAAAACCTGGAACATTTCCAAATGATGCAAGATCTATCATGACAACATGCCTATTGGAGCCTTTATTTGAGCAGATTTGACTTTACACTCAGCTATAAAGCAGGGTCAACGAACCATTCCGATGCTCTGTCCAGGCGTCCAGACCTAAGTGAGGGGGTAGAATCTGACAACAAGGCTCAAATTTTGCTCCCAGCCAATCTTTTTAACAAATCCGACAAGACATTGGTGGAACCATCCTCAACAAGGCATATAAAATCCACGGAAATCGCATCCTCAAACCTCATTTCCCTTATCCGACATTCAAAATTGGAACATGATGCCCTGACAAGAGTAGCCCTCACCAAACTCTTGCAAGTAGGGCCACAAGGAATGAGGGGACTACTGGGACATTGGACACATGAAGATGGAATCACTAGGCATAACAGCTATATATGTGTCCTAAGGGACGATGTCATCCGAAGACTCATCGTCAAAATGCATCATGATGCACCCACGGTAGGACACCTAGGTAGAGCCAAAACATTGGAAATGGTACAACAACACTACTGGTGGCAAAACATGACCAAATTCATCCACAAAATTGTGAACGGATGTGCCATATGTCAATCCATGAAGAATTTGACACACAGGACATACCCGCCTATCTACCCTTTGGAAACCACCAATGTCCCTTAGTGATTCATCTTAACAGATTTTGTCACGGATCTACCTAAAAGCAAAGGTTTCAATTCAATCAACGTGGTAGTGGACCAAGGTCTGTCCAAAGGCATAGTCATCACCCCATGCAAGAAAATGATCACTGCAGAATAAACAACCATGCTCTTCCAGAATAACGTTTTCAATTGACATAGGCTGCCGGCTAAAATAGTGTCCGATTGAGGCCCTCAATGTGCGTCCAAGTTCACCTGGGAACTCTGGAAATGGCTAGGGATCACCACCACTCTCAGTATGGCTTATCATCCCCAAATAGATGGAGAAACGGAACAGGTGAATCAGGAGATCGAACAATTCCTGAGAACATTCCATCTGGAAAACCACCCCTTTGTATTAAGCTTTAATTAATTCTATTTATGCATAATTAAGAATGATTAGGATTAGACATTTTTAGCTTACCCCCCCTCTAAACCTGTTCAAATTAGACATAATTTTCCTAAATTAGGAATTATTAGGATTGATTATAACTTGAAATTTCGGAAAATTCATAATAAATCAAGCATCACAGTTCTCATAGCCTTCTTACAGAGTCATATCTATTAGAGCACTAGTTTACCTAAACACAGAATATACCTTATAACAAACTTGCCTTTTGCCAGAGATGAACCAACAACCTCATGTATACAAGCACCCGGGACAGATGCTCTAAGCCACTAAGCCACAAGGTCTAATATATAAATTTGGTAATCTAAATAAGTAGACATAATATGGGCAACCTCAACATCTCTGATTTTATTCAACATTTATCTTTCCTCTCTCTTATAAATAAATAGGTCAATAAATACCTAAAAAGTCAGGTCTTTCAGGATTTAGTTTAAACACCAGCTAAGAAGATAATAAACCAATATAAAATAGATAATACACTTTATATAGGATAAAAATAAATTATGGCACTTATACAATTTGGACTGAGAATGTGTAAAACTATGATTGAGTATAATATTCAATGGGACTCTACTAGTATAGACAATGCTACCTGAATTTGCAAATTTGATCAAAAACATGATTATGAATAATCAAGATCCAATAAGAGAGAGGGGTTTTCCAAATAGCCACTAGTGAGGTAGAGGGTGGGGATAAGAGTATATGTATGGCATGCCTATATATAAATAAGCACAAGATTGTTGGAGGTGATCTTGATATGCATAATGCATATATTTCCTATATGGCAGGCAAATATATCATTCTGGCACCACATACCAATATGACTGTCTTTTCCACAGCCTAATAGCTAGAGGAAAACACCAAGTTTGAGCATCTTCTGTATAACAAGGCAATAAACAATATAATAGTGCTAAAAATTGTAATATCAATAGTAATGATGATTGTGTGCTACACAAGACAGTATTAACCACTGTACTAATAGACAAGGTCTATAAGGCTGCATATAGCATATCCCTAAGTCCAACCCACATGTTGTGTCCTATAATGACCAGTAGTAGGCATTGGCTAACAATGACAACTTTAATGATCATGTGTGCAAGGACAAGGTACCTAGGTCTTCATAGCCTCTTGTGGCAGCTGCCAAGCTGCCAACAAAGTGGCTGAGGGCATCAATGCACATTTCTCTCTTTCTATATCCCTTGTAAAGGCAGCCGGAAAGTCAGCAAAAGAGCTACAAGATAATGGTATAGGCATATATGAAGAAGAGTAATATGCTGAAATAGTATAGAATGTGCCACATCTTTACCTTCTCACTGATAGAGCAGTAGTACTTACTACTTTCTACTGCTAATTAAAGACTTCTTAGTATAGAATTAGTGCTAATATCATGAAATTAGAAACCAATCCAATGCTCACAATGTGTTGCTCCCAATTAGGAAATTAGACACTTTTAGATACTATTAGCACTTTTAGATACTTTTAGACACTATTAGATATAATCTGGAGCTAATACAAGGGGGTGTTTTTCCAGATGTCTGCAACTACCACCAAGATAACTGGGTAGACCTTCTGCCATTTGCCGAGTTTTTGCATAACACACAAAAACATTCAAGCACTAGAAAATCCCCTTTCAAAGTACTGTACGGCTTCAATCCCCCTTACTCAGCTGACACAGCACTAGAGACAAAGGTACCCGCAGTAGCTGAATGCATTAAAACAATCACAGAAGTCTAGGAAGAAGCCGCTGCCAGCTTACAAATAGCCAGCAAATACGCCAAAGACTGGGATATCCACAGGAAACTCCCCCAATGGGGAGAAGGAGACCAAGTATGGCTAGAAGGAACCCATATCTGGACAACCCATCCTAAGTTTAAGCTTGCCCCTAGGAGGTATTGCCCTTTCAAAATATTGGCAAAAGTAGGAACCCTGGTGTACAAGCTTCAAATTCCCCAACACTAGAGAATCCATCCGGTGTTCCATGCCACGATGCTCACTAAATACAGAGAAACAAAGGCGCATGGGGAAAACTTTGCAAGGCCATTACCAGAAGTACTAAACAATAAAGAACATTACAAAGTGGAGACAATCGTGGATTTGAAGAAACAAGGATGGGGAATCAAGTACTTGGTCAAATAGGTGGGATATCCCGAAGCAGATAACACCTGGGAACTCTATGCCCTCCTGAAAGGAACAGTGAAAGAAGCCATGAAGGAGTTCCATGACCAATACCCTAGCAAACCCCATCCGGGAACATCCTAAAAATACATCACATCACTTGAATGCTTCTCTATGATGACCACAATGCCTTGTCTCCATCCAGAAACTCCTCCCCCGATGTTGTCCTTATGGTCTCCAATCCAGATGTTGGACGAGTAGAAAGAGGAACAAGCCCTCATCAATCTGATGCCGGACGAGTTGACAGAGGAACCAGTCCTCACCACCCAGAACCCACCATCGCTGTTCTTACCCCAGGTCTTAACAACTTCTCAGATGATGATGCTGAGGACTCAGCCAAGTTCAAAGAAAGGGAAAGGACCCACTGATTATTGCCAAGGCAGAATTCCCAAGATGCACCATGGCATGAAGGCTCTGATGACCAAAACTCGCCAAGTGCTAGCAAACCACCAGCTAGAGTTCCACCTCCTGCTGGAATCATACTGAATGCTGGAGTTGTAGGTCTCTCAGGACTACAAGCAAGAACTGCAACTCAACTTCCTAGCCATGGAATAACTGAATCGGTATCAGTTCTACCAGGAACTACATACGTGCCAGTACTGGTTGGTGGACAGATTCCCAGCTCCATGGGAAGACCTACCCCTCGTGCAAATCCTCACTCCGGAGAATTGGAACGACACGTGGACATGCTTCTCCAGCAAAACACCATTTCCATGGTAATACAAACGGCCACAGCTATGGCCCTCCAATGACTTGCTAACCTTTTGGCAGGGCAACCCGGAAATGAAAATAGTGACATACCTCGATTACTGGCTAGTGCCAGTCTCCAGATAAGAATACTCGCCCTCTAGACTGACCCTGACACAGCTTCCTGGTATGAACACAATGATGGATGACTACGAGCTCTCCTCATCCACCCCGATGAGTTCTCCTAGTATATTAACCAAGAGCTCCTTCCAGCTCTCCTCTTCTCCAGGGAACTGGGGGATGTCCAACCAAGCAGAACCGACCCTTTCTGCATTGTCACTTGGAACGTACCACATCCCAGAGAACGTCCCACACCTGTATCAAATTCAAGAAGGCCTCCGTACATGGTTGTAGAACGCCCTCCTCCAAGACAACGAGAGGTTCAAACAGCACGTAGCAATCTCATGACCTCCTCCTCTCACCAGGTATGAAATATTCCCATATCCCAGGGTGGTACTAATGAGGAGGAACCACCTGTCTATCAAAGAAAGGAAGGAAGGAGAAGTTAAGGAAGTCAGGCAACCCTCCAACGCGGAACAGCTATTAGCAAGGGTATTCAATACCAGCCTGAAACACCTCCTACTGGTACTCAATTTCGTGCAGATGAGGGACAGGATAAACGAGGTAGCTGCAGAGCTCGCCGCACTGATTTGGAGACTTGAAGAAATCGCTCTTGGACTCAATCTGAGCTCGATGCATGGGACACTTTAGATGATCTGGGAAACTACAACGATACGGATCCCTATGATTGACCCAATGAAGGAGGCGATGGTTATCAAGGACCCTATGACTATTAACGAGCGTCGACAGGAAAAGAAAGAAGGGTGAGGAAGTTGAGGAACTCCTCACCCAGAAGCACCTGAAAAGGGTCCAAAATGACCTAAAACTAGTTTGTCCACAACGACATAAAACTGGGTTCATCCCTTATGACATTAAACTATATGCCCTCGTCCGAAAGAGATGTTAAACTACCCCATGTCTGGAATGATGTCTAAACTATTGGACCTGCATGTCTTAAAACTGTGAAAAGACAAGAAGGCAGGGGAAGTACCTGACCACCCATCCTGATTCTAATGATGGTAAGAATCACGGGCACACAAGCGGGCATAGTTCCACGTACAACCTGTGGCAGAATTCTTCTACATCCTCACTGTCAAGGAGTAATCTGACAGATGCACTGAGCGTCCCATTTAGATCCTCAGTTTTACAGGGTTTTTTCTGCATTAGGGAACCCTCTACATGACAAAATCTACTTGTAGGTGTCGACAAGCTGGCTCTTCATCTTGGTACAACAAAGGTGCCCATACATAACTGGTTGCAAGTCTGAGGATGAACATGCACCTGCGCTAGGGTCCAAGGGAGGTATTTGGGAAGCTTTTGGGAGATACTGAACAGCGCTCGACAAGTACCAAAGATGCTAACTTGCACCAAACACGGTCGATCCCCACCCGACCGACCGCAACCCTCCGAAGGACATTCAGCAGCACTTGGGTCAGTTTGCCCATACGTCACGTACTTACCATGACTGCATAGGAGTGTTACGATAGGTGTTTACAAGATCAGAGCCAGTATTCCGTATTGGCCGATGTGCTCCGTGAGTTGGTTGGTCCTTATTGCTTATCTTCCCGACTTCCACATGGTCGGTCAAACGCAATCTTGCACCATGACTTGGCCGCCCTGGTTGTACATTACTTCTTCTTTATTGCCATTGGCTTGCCAATACCTGTTCTGGCCACCTGCACTCAGGTGACGGATCCCAAACGTCTGGGATTTCGACATCACTGATTACCTTTTTACCTTATCACCTTCAGAACCCATATGGACATCTTACCTACCTTCTTATCTTCTCTGATTGCTGGGGCTTGGCACCCATTTGACATCTACTCTTATTTTGTGTTCGATATTTTACTTAGGGGCACTGTTTACTATAAAAACCCTACATACAACTCTGGAATAAACCAGCTTTCGCACCCCACAGTTCAGAGCTCATTTGCACTCGTCTCAACCATCGAAATCGTCTTTGTCAGCTCCCGAAAACTTGTCATCCTTGTCATTTGGCCTCATTCGCATTCATACTCGTCGCTTTGCTCGTACCCCTCGTATATTATCAGAGTCCCATGTGGCTCTTGAAGCACGTAGTTGTCGGTTGCGACACTACCTTCTCGTTACCGACCGAATCCCCAATATGACCGACCAAACATTCAGTCGGTGTTTGGTGCGGTCCTGAAACCGTTCGGGCACTATAATCTCATACTCCATGCTGCTTCTCAGTGCGCCGTCGATTTCTAAAGTCATCACTAACAATTCCTTATGTATTAGATACTAGCTCCAGCACCCCTGCATTAGAGGTTGTTTTGGTGTTGTGCTCGGCACTTAGAGCCACCTCAAGCATATCACTGAGGCCAAGAATTATGATGCATAACTAGTTAAGTGAACCCTCACAGTCAAGGTCTGACTGGTGTTTTGGACATCCCACTTTAGATCTCCAGTTTTAAAGGATCATTTCCATATTAGGGGATCCTACTGCTGACACATGAGATAAGTAGAGTCCAGGATACCTCTGCTTAATGCGCTTCCTCCAAGGAATGCAAGGCCACAAAATTACATCCAGAATGATGTAAAACTACCAAAGGCTTGATCCGCAATGACTATAAACTACTAGGGTTCATAATGACATTAAAATAGTCCTCGTCCGAAATGATGGAAAACTACCCCTCATCCGAGATGATGTTAAACTACCATTGACCCAAGGAGTGTGGGTGTATTCTGGTGAAGCACGGATTTTTGGGAGGATCCGCGCCGCAGAACCCTGCCTATAAGCGGTCAAAGTACTTTGGTGTTCACTCGCTTTTTGGTAAAAGAACATCAGGTCATCTTGGTTCAAATCCAAGTGAGGGGTCTGGGGACATAGAAGAGCTCGCATCTCTTCATGGCGCACCCAGTCTAGTCCTGGAGTCGAAGTACAAGAAATTCCACTCCAAGACCTAGTCAGGAGGCAACTAGGACATGTGCCTCGAGTCAAGTATCTAATTAGGAAGGCTATATCACATAACTTCCTTTGGCTCACATCGCGGAAAAACAATGAGAGCTGGCCACTCATTCGGAAAAGGTCTATTCCGCCAATGTGTCCGAAATGATGTTAAACTACCATCCCTTTGTTCTAGGGATCATATTGAAGCTGGAATTATTGCTCCAGCTCCAATGTGTCCGAAACGATGTTAAACTACTGTCCCTTTTCCACATAGGGATCATAGGATGTCATCTCAAGATTGAGATGGCATCACATCCGCAATGATGGTAAACTATATGTCCCTTTTCGTATAGGGATCATAAGGTGGCATCTTAATCACAAAAGATGTCACCTAACATCCAAAACGACGTTAAACTACCATCCTTTCCAGAACAAGGACCATGTGTGGCAACCTTGGCAAGATACTGTGCATCCGCAATAACGTTAAAATACTTGCTCCTTACCGCATAGGAGCTGTGATTGGCAACCCTGGGTCCCAATCGTCCATAATGATGGTAAACTATTTGTCCCTTTTGGCACATGGATCTTCATCAACATCATTTTTGACAAAAATGACACTGATGACGTCCGAAATGATGGTAAACTACCTTCATCCTTGGAAGGAAAAGCCTATCGTGACTCAAGGGACACAGTCAGACGATAACAGCTGCCTATGGCATAGCGTTAAACTGCAAGCTCACCTATAGCACGGCGTTAAACTGCTGACTTGCCTACCTCACGGCGTTAAACTGAGCAGTCTCACAACATTGAGACATTACAAGTTATCTGGTTTGATATAGTATAAACTGTTCTCCATCATGCCTCAGTGGAATCTGGAGTGGGTAAAGTCTGGTCTAGGGCCCTATGCACATAACTGACGAATGATCCGGCGTGCAAAAACATCTTTCCCCACAGATACTCCATGATGATGATGAAGCAGGTCCGCAACAACCTTGAAAGTAAAATACTGGGAGGTGCAGAGCGCCTTAATATTGTCCGCAACAACAATAAACTGTGGACCATCTGGAATGACATTTAAACTACCATCATGGATATATCTCGCAACCCGACAAATATATCAGCTGTGGTCTTGATGTATATTCATGCATGCGAATGGGCAGACTTGGAGAAGGAGTCAGACTCCTCCTTGCTCCTCGCTGCGCCCTTCAAGTCTAATTCTCTTCACATCCTTGCCTCGAATCCAACACTACACGTGGTATTCCCCACCATAGGCCCACATTTGTGACAAACAAACTCTGGACACCGTAAACGGCCTTACCAGAGATGAGTCCACCGTATGGGGACAATACTGCTTGGGATTTGGCTAGCAACCTCACTAGAGATGAGATCACCGTATGGGAGCGATACTGCTTGGGACGACGATAGGATTGCGCTTTGTTTGTCTGTGGCTGCGTATGCGCAAAATCTTCACAGGATTGCCATGCAGCTCTTCCATACCGCGCAATTTTTCCAAGCCGTGCAACCGATGACAACTATTTTCTCATCCGATTTCCTCTGATAGCAGTCGGCATAAACATCTGATAAGTACAATGCTAGACGCTGCTGCGAATTTGATCTGCATTCCCTTTAGCCGCCATGACTCTCCAATTCTTTGAAACATCCATTTATCATAACAAGTGATTACAACGTCTGCCTGCCACTCGGAATTCCTGAGGCAACCTGATGCCGGCCCTGCTTGGTGGTTCGAAAGGTCGAACGCGTTGCTGGTAGAGTACGGTGCATGGTCCAGGATAGAGGCGCCCTATGGCTATTGGTGAACAAGACAAGATTGACATTAGAAATCTCAGGGAAGGACATATTGAGTGAAATATGAGATGTTAGACATATAATCACATATACATGGAGGAAGGATTGAAAAGCATAGAGCATAAGTTGTGATGGAAAACTAGCATGTCAAGTTACCAAGCGTACTAATCTTCCCCATTGGATTCGACCATAAAGGGGAGGGACGCTGGCGTCGCATTATCCATACCCGCAGAGCCACTGCCGCGCTTTATGTTAGCCCTCAACAACGAGCTACGCCGTGCCGCAAATATCAGGCCTCGTGCTTCAGTAAAGAATTGATCACAGCCATGCAGCTCATCGCTGACATCATTCTCCATCTATCCGTCCATCTCGAGATGCTGCTCGATGATTGCTATGAATCGATCCGAAGTCTTGAGGATTTCGAGGGCAGAGTCCCGAGATTGATCCATGTCTCGCATCCGTTGTAACACTCTCGGGGCACTATAGAGTGGAACGAATAATTTTCGAAGCGCCTCGATGAGGCTGGCATGCGGGGTGCTTAGGAACTTTTCGAGGCCTAGTTCAGACAATGCAGTAGGCCCGATTGGTTGAAAAAACTCGTATTTTCCACGTCCTCCGGATGTTCGCCCTTGCACGGTGGCAGATCTGCTGTCGAAATGCTCGATGAATGCTTTCTTGAGCAACTTACATTGCGCCACAGTAAGGTGGCTGGCCCTATAGCGGACACTGGTGTATAGCAAGACGTGAAGACCAGATTCCAGTTCATCACGAAGTTCATGGCGCGTGCTGTCAGGATCCATGAGCCGGGCCGCCGAGATGAATTGCCAAGTTCCCTGCAAACAGGAGTTCAGTTTTTGAGGCGAGTTACATGGCTATCTTATGACGCACCGTTTGCCACTTCGTCGTCGGTCCCTGCGGCCCCTGAGTGTCAACCCTTTGATTATCCTCGCTTGGCAACCTCATAGCTAGATCCCAGTCAATCAAGATTCCCTTGCCTGAATCAGATATCAAAATGTTGCCGGCACTGAGATCCCCATGTCGCACGCGTGCCAATCTAATTGCCAGATCGTGTGCTGCACAGAAAGACGTTGGTAAGCATGCGAGGTGTCAAAGACATCGTCGACTTACCTTTCATCCCATCGCACATAGCGCTAGCGAGCTCTTTTGACGATCTAAATTGGCTCAAGGGCCGTCCGATGTCCCCCAGAACTAACCGATGGAGCCTGTGTCGCCTCGGAGGATTCGTCGTCTTGCAAAACCACTCTTTTGAACTGTACTCGTGCGTCCGTGTGTCTTGACCCAGGATGTCTTGAGAGCAGATCATCGTCGGGATCCCGGTCACACCTGATCGTTCGAGGTGCCGATAGGTCGCTCCTTCATTCTCGATCCCATCCTCCAAGTACCGCCAGCTGTTCTTCAGATACACAAGTTTCTGTCTAGTGATGTCATATGCAATGTACCCGTCTGTGGCTCTCCCAAACGGGCTGCCGCTCTGCCAATGAGGTTTCGACGCGATGAAATAGTGTTTCCGGTGCGTGTCGTCGTCCGTGATACAAAACTGGTGAAAGGTGGCATCAGACGAGTAGAAGCATTGGGCCGTTTCTTCGTCCTCGCCTAGGAGCCTAGCCAGAAACCTGGCTCGTTCGTCAAATGCTTTCTTCGCCCTCTTGATGTCTCTCGCCATGGGCTTTGTGGGCGATGTATCTCGTCCACGTTGCACGTCATTGAAACGGTTGAACCTCCAAAGGAACATAATCAGATGAGTAGGGTCTCTCCTCCAGTTGACTCGTTCAGTCACAATAGCTCCCGCGCGATCCCATCGAATGAAGCGAACATAGTCACCAAGCAAGACCACAGTGAACAGGAAGAACCGGTTTTGCGCCGAGAGCTGCAAGCCTGAATAGGAACAGATTTGTCCTCGACTCATGGTCACCTCCTGCGAGCGATGTAAGACTGTGTTTGTATCGCCAGAGGTCGCACTGGAAGCGAGATCCTGGAATGGGTCCTTAGTCTCTGGCTTGCGCTCGATGCACAGTTCCATCAGCTCAAAGTCAATTACATCACCGCCTTGCAGAGATCTCTTGTAAGCAACCATGTCTGGCTTGCGTTTGAAGTCTGCATCCAGATCGTCAGTCGTGTTGACAAATCTCAGCTTCTGGCAAATTCCAGATGCCTCGACAGCATCTTTCTGTGAATACGATATAATCAACATCGGTCTCTAATAACAAAGAAGAATATATATGCACAAAGTGATCCTCAAATTTTCCGACCCTAGGTATGTTCTTGAAGATTTGGGTGGCACGCTTGGGAGGTTTCTTGTCATCCTTCGTCTTCATGAAAGCGTCAAAGAATTCTGTAATAAGCATAGGTCCATGAAAGTCGTTCTCAGTCTCTTCAGCAAGTAGAGCGTATTCAGCCGGTGCCTTGGATATTTCCATCGCACTGAAACGTTGAGTGCTGGCTATCTTGTGCGAAGACATGTCAGGAGCAGTAGAACAGATGTTGAATGAATCACTTACAGGAATGGAGAAAGTGCTTAAGTACTGGAGACTAATGCCACAAACTGTGGCCCCGAGTTTCGAACAAGCTTGTGATAGTGACCTCTGCTGGTGAACGTTTGAACCAACGCTGCAAGCCACGAAGCCATGGAACTCCGCGATATAGACACGTGATCGCATTGTGGCCGAGTTACAAGGCCGCTTGTATGAACCTTTGTGGTGGCAGACGAGCCGTCATTGCGATCACTGAGCTACACAATACTTCATTCTATGAGCAGAGCGCTACACACATCAAATTAGTGATCGCTCCGCAGCCCAGCCTCTAGATACCATGGCCACGACCGGCAACGACCACGCTTGTCACGGCGCAAATGTGATCGGAGTGTGTTTGAGTAGCCTGCGACAATGGAACGATCCATCACAAGTTAAGTACAGACGACGCGCCACCGTTAGATACGGATATCCGGAGACCACGTCGGAGGTTGAAGGAGAATCGTCAACGTTGCTGCCTTCGGGAGACTAGCGCCACCACGCACCCGCGCTACTCTCGATGGACGCAGATCGGCACCAATCTTGGCGATAGATGTATCGCGTGCCCGACTCCATCAGCAAGCGTACCTCATTAAGAATGTGTTCAAGAAGGCACTCTGAGTTATCATTTGCTCGACACCGAAATCGTGGAGGACAGCTGAGCCTCTGCTCTGACAGCGGATAGCGAAGTGTGTCTCCTGGTGTGCGCCTCCTGGCCATCCACTTTGTGTTAATCTGCGGCCTTCCTTTGTCAGAAATGGGCCTCGCTCAAAGCGACTCGTGGCCTTACAGAATAAAGGTAGCGTATAGGAGTGAGATAGCAAAGTAATCGCCATCTTTCTTCACGAACCCGTTGCATATGAGCCAGCCGTAACGAACGTTAATTCGCAGACACGTTGTCCGCCCATATCTAGCACACCGACTGCAGGATCTGTCGTGGCACACGGTGACGACGCGAGCGAGGCGCATAATGCACACTTGGCATCTGGCCGGTGGGCCTGCGGAACCAAGCTCGTCAGGATCACATTGTTTTGGCAAACAACGTGACGGACATACGGCGAGCGCTGCGCGCTCGTGGGAGTTTGAAGTTGGTTTTCCAAAAGAATGGGATTTGAAACTTGAAAATAATCAAAGCCAGGAGAAAATGCTCACGCAGGCACTTTATGTGGACGTGCAAGGAAAGTATTTGACAGTGTAGGTGAAATTGTTCGAGATATACGTCGGAATCAGCGGGCGGTGACGGTGCGTAGTAGCTGTTGCAGTCGAAGGGCATTTGTTATCCTCGTATTGTTTTTGTACAGATATAATAAGCAGCGTAGAGCGGAGGGAAGACGGCATCATGGAGTTGAATGAAGACTTGTAGGAGAAGACTACTCACAGCGTCGCTGGCTGCAATCTCTTTTGATTCTCCCTAACAGATCACGTCCCTCATCAGCCCTACCCTCGACCCCTCCTTCTGGTCCGCAACTCCTGCATCCCGTGGTTCTTCATGACCATTGAGAACCTTCACGTCTGAATGCAGAAGCGAGGGCGCGGTATCATGCAGCAACTCGCAGACGATGTCGAGTTCTAAGGCGGCAATAGCGACGTGTGCAATAGCAACAGAGCGTATGTGAAGTTCTCAGAGAGGAGAGCCTGAGCTACTGGGATTAAGAAGGTGTGTGGTTGCGTCGCGTTGCAAACATTGTCATGGAAATTAAGGGGGTGTGGAAATAGGACAAGATGCGACGACGTACGGCATAAACACCTAGAAGAAGCTTTGAGCGTTACATGTCTTCGGTGTAACTTGAGTCGTGGAGGCTCTCTCAAGTCATATTCTCTAGCTAGAGAGCACACCGTCTTATGTGTTCCAGGTCTAGCCTGCAGCAGATTTAAATATGGGTCGGCGGTACCTAATGACGAAGAAAATAGTGCATAAACTTGTGCGCATCAATGAGGTGATCCTGGCTGGGACTGGCCTACGAATATTTTCTGCGTATAGGGTCAGCAACAGAGACTACTCGGGACTAGCCTTGCCTGGTCAGGTTCTGTCAGCGACTCAGCGCAAGAGAATGTAGCGAATGTAGTCTAGGAACGATGTCGACGCTTTCCGACGATCAGTGCGAGTAGAAAAGGTTGAAATACCTGATTGCGGCCAATTTGAGCATGGACAAAAAATCGAAAAGCCTGCGGAATCCGGAAAAACATTGAAGCTGGTGAAGAGCGTGCCTCCTCGCATCGTCAGCATCTCTCTTAATGACTCTCCATCTACAATTCTTCCACCGCCATGGGCACCCCTGTGGTCAATGAATATCCCAGCTTATTCCGTTCGTATCTCTACGTTTCGAACCATCTCTAAGTGACTGAAGTAGCACACACGTCAGGCTCTGAGACTATGAGCAACAGAAGTTGCCCATGACACGGTCGCTGAGCTTGGGGAACTTGAAAACATGCAGTTCAAGGATGTGAGATTAGGACTGTCTAATTCACGTTATATGAAGCTAACGATGAGCTGCACAGCCGAACCCCAACGTCAATCCCTTCCAACGATCATTCATAGGCGAGATTCGTCGCATCGACGAGATGGCTCGTCGCGTTCTTTTTTCTCTACTCAAATTGAGAGGGAAAAAGATAAGATACCCGTGCGCCCGCTGTATGATTCGGCGCCTCTCATCACCGTTGGTCCGCGAGCAGCTCAAACAATGGACGGCTTAGACGTTACATTTGCCGAGCACGAGTCGAGGCTAGTACAGATGAATGAGAGCTAAGAACTGCTTAGTGGTCGATTGAGGGAGCTGGTTGAGGCTAGGCATGTTCTGAGGGAGACAGCTGTATTCTTTGACAGGGTAAACACGCTTACAAAAACACAAGGAATCGCCTCATAGCTCACTCTTTCTTATAGGCTGAAAGCAACCAGTCTGATATCAGGACATCATTCGACGACAGCTCGGCACGTTGGCGAAACGTACTGCGGCGTGTAGCATCTGACCGCTTTTATCGATGAGGCGATGAAGTCGAGTACGACGTACAGACCTTCTTCTCATAAACAATGGCTCAAGCCTGCTACCTAAGTCTCATGAATTCTCTCTTGATGCGAATAGTCGCACAATTTCACGGATCCCTGCGCATCCCCACTCGAGCAAGCCTTTGGATGTGTACGTGCCGAGAGGCCGATTCGATAGTCGGTTCACTGAGTACATGAGTCCGACGCGAACACACTAGATGTTGGCTGTGCCTGTTCTATGGATACCCACGATGCTCAAGTCACATACAACGAGGAGGATGCAGGCCCTATATTGCCCACAAAATCAGTCATCCCGCTTGTTAATTGATCACTGAGCGCCTCCACCTTCGCACCGGAGCTATCGCAAGTCACGCTCCGACAAGATCAAACCATCCTTAGACCCTCGTCCTGACATTCCGACCAGCCTGCACTCGCCCATACGGGAAATCCTGAGCACGCTGAATGAACCAGTTAGGCTAGAACGATCCACTGTCTTCAAAAAAGCGATGAAATGAAGGATGGCAAAATAGTGTGCCTTTCTACCCCTGCATGTTGTGCGAAGACACCATAAGCGACTAGAATATTCGATTCCAGACCACTCGCGGGCTGCATTATGCCGTTTGCGATGGGACCATCAGTGAAATCAAGCACCCTGATGCGTCTACAACCTATCGACAAGGGTGCATAATTTCAACTGCGGCGACCCGTGCCAGATACAAGGCATGGCGCTGACGGGAGTCGACGGTCAGAAGAAGCTGTGGAGAACAAGGGAATAAGCGGGTTGTTACGACATGTGCAACCCCGCTCCTCGCGCGACTTTGCCACAGATGTTATCGAGGGCCGGATAAACGACGATAACGATGGACGCACCCCCAGAAGCCCGCCGGATGTTCACAGCCTTGACACGTTCTGTCTTACAGAATTGATGGAACGAGGCAGAGAAAATTGCCCGCCTGTCGCTGGAAGAGAGGACACGGCCGAGCAGAGAAATGATGAACAACCTGCGGGATGTGAACAATGGACCCACCTTGGGCTTGGGTCGGAGCCTAATTCCAGCATGCGAAGGAAGACATCACACCGGCGTCGGAGGCGTTCCTTGGGCTGATTCCTTGGGAAGGTGGTGGGCGCTTCTTCGATAATAAAATTAGAGAGCCGAAAGTAAAAAGTCAACCGTTCACTGTACCACGAATTGTCACCCGCCTCTCCTCCACATCAGCGCCATTAAGATACCAACATGTCCTACTACTACAGTGACGACTCGTTTGAGGACGAGCTTTTCAGTGCGTTGTATATTTGCATATCACGTCAGGATTTTGCTATATGTTAATGCGAATCGATCCGCAGCACCTGGCGCAGGTCCGTCGTGCTCCCAACACGATGTCGACGAGACACACGGTGAGAGCGGTGACACAGACGAGTCGGTCAGTCTGGAACTTAGCTTCGGACCTTCAACACGCCACTCATTGTTCTGTATTCTTAGGACGAGGACACCTACATCACCCGTAGATACCCGAGCCCTGACGTGCCACTCCCACATCGCTCGCTCCATGGGACCTACCTCGAGGTTCCAACCCCCATCGCGCCACACGTACCCACCCAAGCCGCCCACTGGGACAATGACAAGGAGTCGACGGGCGCATGGCCATTCCCTGTTTCACTCACCGCCACTCACACCTACACGGAGGCGGCCCAACGCTACATCACCACATCGTCGGTCTCAAGTTTGATGGGTGCATTGGACCCTATCGCGGTCGCGGAGCACCCTTCGAGACACCGCACGACACCCTTCTCCTTGCTGCTGGGCGCCGTCCATCCGATCCAGGGTCCATGGAGCGAGATGGCGCGAGATATAGTGGAGGCGCCGCGCGACACCGTCCTTCGGGTGTTGGCCGAGGTGCCTCCGCAGGTGCTCATCGAGGAGGCCCCGGAGCTTGTCCCAGAGCTGCCGCCGTTGCCAGAGACCGCCTCGGAGCCGGTGCTGCCGGAGCACCACGTGCATGTGGAGGAGCCAAGGCGGAAGAAGGCGAAAAATAGGGAGGGGAGAGATGGGAGGGAGGAGGGAGGGGGGAGGGAGGAGGGAGCGAGTCAGGGAGCGAGCGGCGCGAAGGCGGGGAGGCGCATAGTCAAGAGGCCGCGCATGCCCCCGATCGCGGGGTATGGCCGATTCCCGGTCAGGCTGCCAAGCGACTATGCGGCGAGAGAGAGAGAGACGGCGGGAGAGCGAGGCCAGATGCTTGTGGTCCATCCACAGGCGCACGGCAGCGCCCCTCCAGAGACTACGATAGCATCGACAACATCCACCCACAGGGTGGAGAACCCCACAGGTGAGCCAGTCCCCGAGGCTGTACCGCAGTCCATCGGAGGGCCCTGGACATCGACACCTGGAGAGGAACAGAGAGGCGCGCGAAAGCGCAAGAGGGCAGACCCTCATGTCTGCGACGGCACCGACGGGTGCAGCAAGCGGCTGTCGTGCCCTTACGACATGCCCCGACACAAGGCGACTCTGCGCCACGGAGGACAGCGCGAATTTGCATGCGGCGACTGCCCAGCTCTTTTTGTGCGTAAAGATGAAGTCCATCGCCACAAGCGAGAGCACTGCCCAAACAGAGGCAGGAAACATAACGGCAGGGGCGGTCCCTCGCAGGGCCCGAGACATGATGGTCCAGAGGGCGGCGGAGGGGGCATGGGGGGCATAGGAGATAGCCTGCTCAGTGGATAGAGCTGAAGGTGCGTACCGTTTGCTTTCCTTTTCTCTTCGCTCGCTCTTTTGTTTCGCGGCGCACGCTATCGATGTCTTTGCCTTTCCTTTCCTTAACACCCTCGTTGTTTTGACCAACCTGTTGCGCTCGGATCGATTCGGTTGGAAACTGACTCGCTCTGGTTTTCGCAGGACTCTGCTCATGGTCGACGTCGTCCAGCCTAGCATTGTACGACACTTGCACGATGGATCGAAAGCCGATCGTTATGTAAGCCATCATACAGCATGGTAGGGCCTGGTCGCTCAGCGCTCATCGTCGACCTCGTCCACAACGGCACCTCAGCGACGAGGGGTCGATAAGCTCATCTCCCACGAGGTTGATCACATCTAAATTATCACGGCTTCACATGGATCTGTTGTTGTACAGTCTGTTCGCTCCAGCGCTTCTCTTTTACAAATACCTATCTATTCCTTCTCATATTGTCCTTCGAACGCGAGCCCTGCTGGCATACGGCTACCTTCAACAATGAACTAGACTAGGCGGAGTAAATCTTTCCTCAATTATTTGCTGATTTCGCCCATTGCGGCTGACCGTCAGCTCTGACAAGACTATCGACGCCTGCACTGCAGCAGCATCGAGCTCAGTGTATGGTCCTCTGTCCACTCCATTCATATCGTTCGGAATCCAGATGGGCGAGGCAACGTCAGTGATGGAGGTTAACACTACCGTTGTTGAGAACGAGGCAGACATTTTCGCCCGGTATACATTGGCGATGCCGCTTTTTGTACGCTTGCTCTTTCATCCACAGTTCTCACATGCCATAACGCAGAACTTCCTTCTTGTCACCCTTCCCCGCAACGACGGTCTATCGATCCTCTTCACTGCGCTCACTGCACTGTATCAAATGACGTATGCCGGCTTCTTTGTGCACCTGAACGACATGCTATCTATCTTGCGATTGCGTAAACGTTGAAGTACACGCTTGAGGCTCTGTCTGTTAACGAGGTCGGCTCTGGACTGATGATCAAAGATTTGCTGCAGGGCCGGACGATGTATCTGCGAGTCTCATCATGAATCTGGTGCGTTATTTGGCAATCACTCATGGAAGCAGAACTAAAATCTACCCACTGCTAGCTATTTCGATTTGGAAGTAACAACCGCCATCGCGACGGTGCCATGCTATTCGCCTTCGTTGGAGAATTCGTAGTGGGCGTCATTGAAACTGTTTGGTTACAAGGTGGGAGAGACAAGATATTGCACCTTCTGAACTCGAGGACTCTCAATATCCATTTCTCCCCTACCGATCTATGTATCCCGTTCGATCTCATATAGACACTTTGTTGGTGAAGGCTTGATGTGACTTAGGTCTATGTAGAAGTTCCGCAGGGACAATATTCCTGTGAGTATGAGTGGCGCGCGGCGGTGTTTTCCGAGAAGTCAAAGCCACCTTACGACGACTCGCGCCTTCGTGCATCGTGTTTGTACAGCTTCCTGCAGGACACCGGATGGTGCTCCCCGAGATGATCGAAGCAACGACACCTATCATTCCGATCGCACAAAGCGCCGGTTCTCTTTCCAAAACGGGCGAGGTGGCTGGGCAGAGAAGCGTGGCGTTTGTTACGTTGTGTGGCGAATAGTGGCAGCGGAGGTCCAAGCGTTAACCGATGGGTGGTGCCAAAGCGACATTGGTGACCCCCAACTCTATAAAGCCTCGCCGCTCTCCCCTCTTTCTTTCCATCACACTCTCTTCCTCCCCACCACCCCCTTGTCCTCTCTCATGCACTTCGTTACTTACTATCCTCTCCGCGTCCTCCTTCATCTGTACAGGTACATTTCATCCATGCCGTTCGCCACTTTTCCCATTGAACTTCGACGCGCTCCAGGTTATTAGGCACGATCGCCTCAAGCACGACGTCAAGCTCATAGGTACGCGTTTTTTTATAACTGTTCGTATACATTGATGCTCAACGATGCATTCGCAGGCACGATCGCCTTCAAGCACGACAGCAATTTCACTGGCCGCGTTGTATCTTCTGGCGACACTGCTCTGGGATCTGTGGCTTTGGTGTGTGGCATTGGGCTGTATCGTTCTCTGGAGGTGGCTTCGATGTCTGGTTGCTGGTGTGTCTCTTCAACGTGTCTGGGTTCTGTCTTGCCTGCCTTGCTCGTCCTCTTGCTCTTTCTCTCACTGGTGGTTCTTGTCTCTTATCATTATTTGCTGCGCTTTGATGTCCTTGGCTGCGGTCTGCTCGCTCTTTGCTGTGTTGTATGCTCGCTTTGGGTTCCCGTCTCTCTGTGTCCTCTCTTCGATCTGGCTTGCTTGCTCTGTCTGACTTGCTCCTTCTCGTCCTCGCCTTGTCTCCTCTCTTGGCCTTCTCTTTTTTTGCTGATCGCTGTGGCATGCTTTCTCTGTTTTACTTGGTCCTCACTTTCTCCTTTACTCGCTGTGGCTTTGATCTTGGTTTCTGATGTCTCATGTCAATCTTTGCTCGTTTCCGTCTTCGTCCTGGCCTATCTCAATCTTATCTTCTTGCTCGTCTATCTTGTTTTGGCTGTTATTCACTCTCGGTGGCCCTGGTCTGTCTCGGCGACGCTCTCAATCTCTCTTGGTTCTCTCCGGTTCTTGTCTATCTCCTTTTGGTTCATCTTGGCGACCCTCTCAGCCCATCTTGGTAACGAATATCTTGTCAGTGTAAGTCCACCTAACCGTTCTATCACTTAGGTCCCGCACCGCCAGACACGACTATTTCAATCTGCAAGAGATCGGGTCGTCAGTTAGGGGGTGTCCGCCCCCGGTGAGTCTTTCATACCTTTTTCCACTGTCGCAAATACTGAGTCGCATATACGTCTTACATTTCTAGGTGCGTCTCCATCCGGCTGTGCATCATTTCTTTTGTCGGCGAAACCCTTGCTATAGATAATGAAGCACTAGCACCTTATCAACAACGTCCACTCCAAGGTTCAAGTATCACACATCATTATGCGACGCAGTTGAGGATCAATGTTGTATTCTAAGGCACGATCGCCTTCAAGCACGACATCAAGCAACCTAGGCCAGGCAGCGAACGATATTCGGGTGACCTCGACCTCGGGCATCTTGGCGAGCTTTTCTGGTGTCTCTAGCTTTGCCTTCCGCCTTGCTCTGGATCGCTGGTTGACGGCGCGCTGGTGTCCTATGGCTGTCCAGGTCTATGGATTCTATCTCGCTTACTCTGTATGTCTTTGCTCTGTGCTACTCTCCGTCTCGTCTTCCTTCACTTTCCTTTCCTTCCTGCCTCCGCACTCCTCTTTGTGATTTTTGTTGTGTACTGCTTTATCTTGGCACCATCCTCAGTATATCTGGCCAGCTTGAATGCACAGGTCAAAACCAAGGTTGACATATGAGGTCCGGACGCCAAATTCAAGTATGCAGGGCGATCCCTCGAGAGACGGGGTTGTCAGTGAGCGGGTGTGAATCACCCGTGAGTTTGATGATCCGCTCTCATTACCACAGACATCAGTCAAGCATCTGTTGTTTTATTGTCTACATGTACAGTCGTAATATTCTTGATCTCCACGAATGTTTGCTGGCTCTGGCATATGCGGATTTGCAAAGGCTCGCTCGAAGCTTGCGGACAACAACTTGTTAACGCTCGATCTATTGAAATATCTTGGTCTTGTCTCCTGGCTCTCACTCGTGGTTCTTGCCTTGCTGGTTATGTTTTGCTCGCATTCCTGTGTTGGATTTGTTGCTCGTCGCTGGGATTTCCCAATCACTTGATCTTGTCCTGGTTCTTGTCTTTGAAATCCTTGTGCTTGTCTTGCTCGCTCTGCTTGTCTTTCATGTCATCCTGGCTGTTGTTCTCGCTCTACTTGGCCCGCTCGCTTGACTTTTACACCCTTGTTCAGCTTGTCAATTTTGCTTTGCTTGTCATTCTCACTTTGCTTTTCGTTCTCGTCTTGCTTTCTGCGAATCATTCTGGTCTCTTGGGCCCTTCACGCGTGACAACATCGTTCCACTGTATTTGCTGTTATTCGCCTTCGCGTAAGCGCAACTCACCATGTACTTCTCCACGTCAATTCGCCCTGACTGAGCGAAGGACGATCTTAGAAGAGATGCGATCCTCAACCTGCGCTCCCTGTGAGTTGTCCCTTCTGCATACCTTTCTCATCGCTCTCACAACCCCTGACCTCCCTAGACATCCTTCATTTAGTGACATCCTGCGATCCAAGTCAAGCCATATGCAACGTTGACATAGGAGCGGGGGTCATATGCTCTCCTTACAACCAGACTTGTCGAGATTTTTTCGTTGATAATGTGTATGACACTATCATCGCTGTTGAACGACACTCCGGCTCCAACCGTGTGGATCCCCCCGGATCAAACCCTCTGCAAAGTATGCCAGGTACTGGTATCTCTGCTTGATTTCTTTCGCAAATGATCCCATTCACTTCGCACTTGCTGGGATTTTATCTGACCCCGATATTCGTTTGAATTAAATCGTAATCTTTTCCGAGATCAAAAAAAAAAAGTACACTGGTTCCTTTATGAAACACCGACTGACGCGGTGGCATAAAACCACAAGGCGGACACAGATTTGTCCCCTTAGGTCACGTCTCGGTTCTCTGCACCAACTGATTGGCATTTAGTGCCTCTCTGGGAGATCGCGTCGAACAATTCCGACTTGAATTTGAAGCGGTCTGCGGCTCGTCCTCCACGCCAAGTAACGTTGGGCACAACAGCTCTCAGCTCTTCCATCCACTTTTCCGGCAGATCCGGTTGGATAATGTCGATCTGTCGAATAGGAGCCCGCAATGTAGTGCGCTTTCTGAGCACACGGGTCAAGAAACCTACAGTGCGATCTAGTTTGGACACGTTTGAGACTCGCAAGGGGTGTAAATGTATGACCTTAAGGCTGGGGAAAGGAATATGCTCGCTGTACGACTCGGCTGGAGTCTGCTCTGGAGCTGTGGTATCCATGTCCTTCTTCATAGCAATGCAAAATGGTCGTAGAATGGACTTAGAGAGGGAGATGCGCTTCAGACTCTGAGCACGTCCAACTACACTGCGAAACATCGCCAAGTCCCAAAGAGGGTCTGCATCGATAAAGAGATTCACAGTCTCTTGGGTGAACAAAGCTCCTAAGATGTCACATTCGATCTGCCATTGCGGACAGCTATTATAAAGTCTCAAAGTAACTGGAATCGTGGCTCCTTCGGAAGAGTGACGAGGATCACAATGCCGCCAGCCATGGAAAATATATACTCTGAGGATGGAGGGCGATTCATCTGAATGGTCCGAAGAGGGGGCACAAGTCCCGGTTTCCCGCCTTGTTTCTCAAGGACGGGAAGCAGAAAGCGAGTAGAAAGCTCCTCTTCTTCGCAGTCACAAGAGAGAAACAATTCAGAAAGGGGTGGAAATTCCACAATTTCCAGGAATGTCATACAACACGACCAGACTCCTCCCAAAGTCAAGTTCGAAAGATGAGAGAGTGCGATTGTATTTCGTGGCTGACCAGATGTCGAAGCAGAAAGGGGAGGGAGGGCGTCGTAGATCAAAAGTGTCTCCAGATAACACATTTCAGACAATGCGTCGAAAAAAGTATCATATGGTGGCATCGAAGAGTTCTCGGCAGAATTTCCATACACCTTGAGGCTGGTCAAATTATGAAAGACTGTGGAGGACCAAGGGATCGCTAACCCAGAAAAATAAGCTGTACGCAAGAGGGGGGCATGATTAGCGAACAGGTTTTCCGGAAGCTCTGTGATACAATTGTCTTCAGCCCGTACTGAGAGCTCAACATGCTCCACTATCTGAGCAGGAGCATCAATGGGCTGTAAATTATGAAAGGGGTCCACAATGCCAGATAGAATGATCACCCTCGCGCGAGGCAAATGGGGCGTGATTAATTGGACAGAGCTTTCCATGCAGGAACTCTTGAAAACAAGAGATGCCTGCTTTGCACTCATAGACATTTCCGAGACCCATTCTCTGCCGAGATCAAGGTTGATCTTTGTCCACAAGTTTGTGTTCTCGAGAGCGACATCTCTCCAGTAACTGCACACATGTGAGACTTTGATCCATCCCAGGTTCTGTTTCCGCGGCAAATCAACTACCACCCGAAAAGAGTATATATTATCCAGGATCTCTGGTGGTAAGCGACGTGGGGATTGTGTGATTGCGCCGCGCATGGATGGCGCGTATTGCAGTGCGCAGATAGACTACTTCGTCATCAAAGGCCTTGAGGACGTTCAAGTCACCTGCGGATGCAATGGCGCTGAAATCAGAGAGCAAATCGAGTCTAATTCGCAAAAAATGACTCCAGTAGTCAATTGCACTGTGTGGGACGGCCAGATCAACATCGCGATAGTCTCAACTACAGATCAGGATACTCACTTGGTCTCAAGAGCGACCTTTTTCAGATCGCAAAGCTTCACTTATCCCCCAGAAGGCAAAGATGTTTCAAGAGTCTGATTCGACGGCATGTGGGTGTGGACTGTCTGTGAAGATGCGGAACCTCGATGAACTCAAGAGGTCGAGCATCGGAGCAGCTAGTTGCATGTGACCCTCAGTCAAAAATGGAATTCAAGTGAACGTCATGCCCAGTCAAAAAATTGGTATTTTGTCATGTATCCGTCATTGAAGCAGTGCAGAGGTCATGTAAAAGTCATGTCCAATTTTGGTAGTTTATGACTTGAGTATGACTTTTTGCGCCACTTTCTTGATGGACACATGACAAAATACCAATTTTTTGACTGAGCTTGACAATCCATCCATCCCTATATAGAGGGCGACAGTGAAGAATTGTGGCAAAACTCCGCCGGCTAATGTCGCGTGTTGTCGCTTATGCTCGCGTGGGCCACGTAAGAAACCACGCGAGACCACTGTCCCATAGGCTTCGGGACGCGAAACGGAGCGTGTCGGAGTTTGAAATTCGATGAGTCAGCGCTTCCGCGCGAGGCTTGCGACATTGGATCTCTGCCGCCAACCACCATCATCTCTGTCCTGGACCCTCATCTGTGCTCTCCTCTGCTTTATTCCTCACTGGCTTTTCTCTCAAACTCTACTCTGCTCTACTGGGTGTCTCTGAGCACGGATTCTGCTTAGAAAGAGCCTACAGGGTGTGAAGTCTACCAGCACGGCCTTAGTTTGCTGTAGCCAAAAGCAGTCTTTTCATAGCTGCCTGGACCTCTCTCATCCTGCGGTGTTTCAGTTGCTCAGGTACCTTTTACCACAATCTCACAGTCACAACGACCTGCTTTGCAGACAACGAGTGACATCGAGTTGTCAAAGAGCATTGGGAATCCTCTTCCCCTGGCACTGTCTTGCGGCAATTTCTTCAGGTGAACTGTGAGGGGGCATTCAGCGAGTGCTTAGCTTGGCAACCACTCTTGGCTCTTGGTTTTGTTTGCAGGTGTTTTTTTTATTTAGCTTTTCACAATGAGTGTTCCACCTTTGTAAGTCTGTGTTGCTTGCATCATGTCTATTGTGCTCAACTCTTTTTGTAGGCCTCCTAACGAGGGTGTGGTGGAAGTCTGGATGCCTGCATTGGCACCTTTGTGAGTATCTTTGGCTTGCTTGGATACTGTTTCAGTGCTAAAATTCTCTTTAGAGATGATGATGAGGATGATCTCTATATGACACCTCCACCTGAGACTGTACATAAGTATGTGTTTTACTTTTTGCTTATTATTGGTTGTGTGTACTCATATTTGCTATAGTGAGAATGCCAATAATAGTGAAGATGAGGATGATCTGTATATGACTCCTCCACCTGAGAATCTTAATGGGTATGTGGTTTTATTTAATCTTTTTATGGTCATTAGCTAAAAAAAAGAAACTATAGACATGTTGAAAACCAAGAGGCTGTTGAAGAGGCTGCCCATGTGGATGTGACTATGACAAGGTATGCAGTTTTTGTTAAACCACACAAAATTTGTTTATTAATTTTAGGGTTTATAAGAACTCCTCCTAGGACTCCTGAGCATGAACGCCAGACTGTGCGGGAGCAAGAGCGTGCTGAAAGGCTTCAGATGACTTCTCCTACTCTTCGGTGCGAGCGTTCTGCATTACAAGGCTCTATTCGTCAGCCTGTCTTTGAGGATCTCTCTAGACCTTCCCATCCTGCTACTTCTAATCCTGCTCAGCCTCCTATTTCTCTTGCACCACCCATTCAGCTTCACCAGCCTGCCACACTTGCTCCTCCTGTCCAGTCATACTATTCTGCAGTTGCTGCTTCCTCTGCTCCATCATATTATCCTGCTCAATATGTTCCTCCCCACTTTTATCCTGCTCCCATGTTCCAACACTCTGTCTATCAAGGTGCTACAGCTTACCAAATTCCTGGACAGTATCCTATCTATGCTCCTCCTCCAATGCCTGCACCACCACCTCATTATTGGCCTGTGAATGTTTCTGCCTATCCTAATCTTCCACGACACTTGATTGGGAATCATGATAGACAGGCTCGCTCACGTCTTGCAGCAGCTAGCCATCCTGACTATGAGCGCCGCATGATGAATAACTTTGAACAAAGCCATGCAGAGCGTAGACGGCGTCGTAGAGAGAATACAAGGCCTGAATCAGATGTTCTCCCTCATAATCCAGCTTCTTCCTCTTATCGACCACAGCCTCCATTGCCACCTCAGTCAGATGTACAGGCTTTGCAATATCAGCAAGAGCAACAGGCATTTGATCAGCATAGAGCATTCCTTCATGAGCAGCGTCTTGAAGAGGTCCGTCAGCAGCTTTTGCAGCCTCAGCAAAGACATCAGCAGCATGAATTGCAAAGACAGGAGGAAGGAATCCATGAGCAGGCATTTGTTCAGCAACAACATCTTGATGATCTACAGCAGCAGCAGCACCTTCAAAATCAAATACAAGTCCATCTAGAAGAGCAGGAGCATTATGCCAATCTAGCCATCCAGCAAAACCACCATGCTTTGGCTCAAAATCAAGTAATGCAACAGCTATCTCTTGGTTGTCGTCCTTATCAAGAGCCTGACGCACGCTATAGTGTTGGCCATATGGATGTTGAATGTTCCCATTGCAAAGCCCTTCACTTTTCCTCTGAAAAGCTATCATCCTCTACTCGCAATCACATCCGCTTTGGCATGTGCTGTTTACAAGGCCAAATTAGGCTGCCTGTGTTATTGGACCCTCCTCAAACACTGCGTAATCTTCTCTGTGGAGACACTGAGAATGCCAAATCATTCAGGCTAAATATCAGGCAATACAATAGTGCATTTGCATTTACTTCTATTGCTGCCAAGCTATCAGATCATGTTACCACTACTTCTGGGCCATATGCATTTAAAATCCATGGAGAACTTTATCATCAAATGGGTACCCTGCTACCACCCAACCATCTTAGACCTTCCTATGCTCAGCTCTATGTTATTGATCCTCAGGCTGCACTCAATGAGCGCAACAATGCCAATCCCAACTTGAAGTCTGAGATCATGAATAACTTGCAGGATATGTTTCATGAGCACAATCCTTATGTTCCCCTGTACCGCCATGCCTATCAAATCATGGCAGACAAGAATCCTGGAGAACGAGACAAGCTTGCAGCCCGTATTGCTGTCTTGCCCAATACTGATCATCGCCGCTATAATGAGCCTACCGCAGATGAAGTTGCTGCCATCATTCCTGGAAGTGGAGATGAGGAAGTAGACTTGCACAGAGATATTGTTGTCCGCTATAACCATGGAGGTCTAAAGCATTTCAGCCATCTTCACCCTCACTATAGTCCCTTGCATTATGTGACATTATTTCCACATGGCGAACAAGGCTTTCATCCCAATATTCCTGCTCATCCTGGACCTAATGGCCAAATGCTCTCATCCAAGGTGTCTCAGCGCTGCTATTATGCCTATCGTCTTATGCGCCGTCTGCTTGATCCTGAAACCATCTTTAGAGCTGGCAAGCTATTTCAGCAATATGTGGTTGATGCTTGGGCATCTATTGAGTCTAGCAACCTTTTCTGGATCAGGAACCATCAGAAGGAGATCAGAGCTGAAAAGTACCAGTCATTGTTTGATGCTATCCATGCAGAAGCTGAGGTAGACCTAGGCCAGCGGGGAAAACGTATTGTGCTTCCCTCTACTCATGCAGGCAGTCCACGTTATATGTATCAGCTTTTCCAAGATTCTATGGCTATCACTCACCACTGCCATAAGCCTGACATCTTTATCACCATGACTGCAAACCCTAACTGGCCAGAGATCACTGAAGAGCTCTTAAAATATGATGGTGGTTCAACTCAGCAGCCTTCTGATCGTCCAGACTTGGTTGCACGTGTGTTTGCCTTGAAGATGAAGGCTCTTATAAAGGATATCAAGGAGGGCCTGTTTGGCAAGGTGGCAGGGATGGTTTATACCATTGAGTTTCAAAAGCATGGTCTTCCTCATATGCACCTTCTTCTTTTCCTTGATGCACAGGACAAGATTCAAAGTGCTGAAGATGTGGATAGGATTGTCTCTGCCCAGCTTCCAGATCCTGCTGCCCATCCTATGCTTTATGAGTCTGTCACAAGATACATGCTCCATGGACGCTGCGGCCCTGAGTTTCCTCAAGCACGTTGCATGGAAGAAAAAGATATTGGAGGCACAAAAGTCAAGCTTTGTAGCAAGCGCTATCGGAAGGACTTTACTGAGCAGACCCTCTATGGTGAGGATGGCTATCCTACATATGCTAGGCCAAACAATGGGCGCACCTTCACTCGGCATACTATGCAGTTTGACAACCGTGATGTTGTTCCTTATAATCCCTATCTCCTTGCCAAATACAACTGCCATATCAATGTGGAGGTCTGTGCATCCATCAAGGCTGTCAAATATATCCACAAGTATATCTACAAAGGTCCTGATCGTGCTACACTTCAGATTGGAGACATTGATGAGATTAAGGACTATGTGGATGCTCGCTATATTGGACCTGTGGAGGCTTGCTAGAACATCTTTGAATTCCCAAGGCATCTGGAATCCCCCACAGTCTATCGTCTTCCTGTTCATCTCCCTAATGAACAGCAGGTCTACTTTGATGCTGATGATAATCCTGAAGAAGTCTTAAACAGAGACAGGTCCCAGAAAACCGAGTTGACTGAATGGTTTATTGCCAACCAAAAGTTCCCTGCTGCTCATGCTCATACCTACCAGGACTTTCCTCTTCACTATGTCTGGAACCAGTCAAAGAAAATATGGACTCCACGTCAGCAAGGTTCTACTATTGGCAGAATGTTATTTGTCCATCCCTCTGCAGGCGAACACTTTTACCTCAGAACATTGCTCACCATTGTCAAAGGTGCCAAGGACTGGAAAGACATTCGCACTTATGAAGGCATTGAATATCCTACCTATCGTGATGCCTGTTTTGCACGTGGCCTTTTGGAGGATGATGGAGAGTGGGATATGGCCTTGGCTGAAGCAGCAGATATGCAGACTGGAACTCAACTTAGATCCCTCTTTGCCACCATTCTTCGCTTCTGCATTCCTTCACAACCTCTTATTCTTTGGAATCGCTACAAGGACAAAATCTGTGATGATCTGCATGTGCGTCTTACTGCCATGGGCTTTCCTGATCCTACTCAAGAGGATGTCTTTGATTATGGCCTCTATCTACTGGACAAAGTCCTTACTGGAATGGGAAAGCGCCTCATTGACTATCCTCCAATGCCTTTGCCTCTGCAAGATTGGAACCAAGCTGCAAATGTGCTTCTTCAGGATGAGCTCAACCATGATTATGTGGCTCTTTGGGAACAGGTCAGTTACCATGCATCCTTCAAAGTTGACCTTGAGCTGACCTTGCATTTCAGGTGGAGACTAATCTATTGACCTTCAATGCTGAGCAGAGGAATGCCTATGATGCTGTCATGCAGTCAGTCCAGTCCAACCAAGGCCAAGTCTTCTTTCTGCACAGTGCTGGAGGTGGTGGAAAGACCTATGTTTGCAACACCATTGCTGCCTCTGTCCGCTCTCAAGGCAAGGCTGCTCTTTGTGTTGCTTCTTCTGGCATTGCCTCCTTGCTTCTGGATGGTGGTCGCACTGCTCACTCTCGCTTCAAAATCCCCATTGAGGGTCTCAATGAGCGCTCCTCTTGCTCTTGGGAGAAAAACTCTGACTTTGATGGTCTTATTCATCAGACTGGGGTGGTCATTTGGGATGAGGCACCAATGCAGCATCGCTATGGAATTGAAGCTGTTGATCGCACTCTTCAGGATCTTATGGGCAACCCTGCTCCTTTTGGTGGTGTTACTGTGCTGTTTGTTGGAGACTTTCGTCAGACCTTGCCTGTGGTTCCCAAAGGAAGCAGAGAGCAGATTGTGGCTGCATCTTTGCGGAAGTCCTCACTCTGGAATCACATCCAACTTCTCACTCTCAAACAGAACATGCGTCTAGACCAGACTCCTGAAAGCAATGCCTTTGCTCAATGGCTCCTCAATGTTGGTTCTGGCCATAACCTTGGTGAAGACAAATCTATTGAACTTCCTCCCAATATGCGTCTTGATAATAATACTAAGGAATCCTTGGTTGACTTTATCTATCCTAACATCTCTGATCAGCACCCCAAACCAGACCACTTCTTCCTTGACCATATGATTCTTTCTGGGCGCAATGACACTGTTGCTGAGATCAATAAGGAGATTCTGGCCAAGTTTCCTGGAGAAGACAAGCTCTTGACCAGCATTGACTCTGTCAAGGATATAGAGGGTTATCCTATAGAGTTTTTGAACTCTATCAATATCTCTGGCCTTCCTCTTGCTCACCTCCATGTCAAAAGAGGTTGTCCTCTCATTCTTTTGCGCAACATTGATCCCTCTCATGGCCTATGCAATGGCACTCGACTCATCCTACTTGAGGCAAGGACACGTGTCTTAAAATGCCGCATCTTGGGTGGAGCACATGCTGGAAGAATTGTGTTTATCCCTAGGTTAACCCTGGAGCCATCTGGAGAAGCCTGCCCTATTCCTTTGAAGCGCAGACAATTCCCTGTTCATGTTGCCTTTGCTATGACCATCAACAAATCACAAGGACAGTCTGTCAAGTTTGTTGGATTGGATTTGGAGCGGCCTGTATTTTCCCATGGCCAACTTTATGTTGCACTGTCACGCTGCACATCAGGAGATAGAATCAAGGTGTTATTCCCACCAGACTCACAAGGGACCAAAACCACCAATATAGTGTACCCTGAGGTATTGCAAGGCATTTTGGATAATCAATAGTATGTCTTGGATCATAATTATTGTGACATGGCTAACAATTATAATAGGACTTGAATAAGGACTGTAGTATAAAACTTATATAGAAACTTCTTACACTTTGACTCTCAATCCCCACTCTAACTTTTTATATGTATGCTTGAAATAAAACTGCTACTCTAACTTGGCTGCTTGACTAAAACCTAACCACAAACTAAGCACTATAACACAAACTTAGATTTAGCACTGCCACACAACCTCAGACTAAGCACTGCAACAAAAACTCGGATTAAGCATGGTTGCGCCGTCGCAACGCGACGGGTGAGAAGCTAGTCCCTATATAGAGGGCGACAGTGAAGAATTGTGGCAAAACTCCGCCGGCTAATGTCGCGTGTTGTCGCTTATGCTCGCGTGGGCCACGTAAGAAACCACGCGAGTGAAGCAAGCGCCATGACAAATTTGGCGAGCGGAGCGAGCTGTCTCTTCAGCCGCCCGGCAACCTCTGCAACTGGAGCGGGCCGTGTCTCGGCAGCTGTCGGGGTTTCACACGGCATCCCGGTCTGCCCGGCAATGCCAGCAACTGGAGCAGGCCGTGCCTCGGCAGCCATCGGGGCTCAAAATGGCATTCTGGCACCCCACAGGGAACCTCACGGGGGAGCCTCATAGGGCAGAATCTCATAGGGGAGCCTTATGGGCAGAACCTTTTATGGAATATGAAAAGGGAGCCTAATAAGGAAGCCATATAGGCAGGATCTGGCAGAGGAACCTTATAGGGAAATCTTTTGAATGTCATCTTGCAAAATCTCATAGAAGGGCCTTATAGGGGAATCTTATAGGCAGGACATTATAGAAAATCATGGGAACTGGACTTTATGGGCACTAAAAGTGATATTCTAGCACCTTATAGAGAAGCTTCACAAGAGAGCCTCACTGGCAAGATCTTATAGAGGAACCTGACAGAGGAACATAATAGGTAAGCATAATAGAGAAACCTAACAGGGGAATATAATAAAGGAACCTATATAGGAGAACCTTATATGGGCCATATCTTGGCAGCTGTTGGAGCTTGAAATAGTATCGCAGCACTTTATGGGAAAGCCTTATAGGTATGACCTTATAGAGGAACTAAATAATACTTGACAAGAGAGTCTTATATAGAGAATATTATGGGCAGGACCTTATAGAATATGATCAGAGAGCTATATTAGGGCAAAATAATTTATGGGCACTGGACTTTATAGGCACTAAAATTTACAGGCACTGGGCTTTACAAGCACTGGACTTTATGAGCACTGGACTTTACAGAGACTAGACTTTACAGGCACATGAGACCAAGCACTGTAACAAAAACTCAGATTAAGCATGGTTGTGCCGTCGCAACGCGACGGGTGAGAAGCTAGTAAATAGAGGGCGACACTGCAAAATTGTGGCGCTGGGCCGGCGGCTCATGTCGCGTGTCTTCGCTTATGCTCGCGTGGGCCACGTAAGAAACCACACGAGACCACTGTCCCATAGGCTTCGGGACGCGAAACGGAGCGTGTCGGAGCTCGAAACGGAGTTGGTCAGCGCGCGCGTGCCCGGAGCTAACCTAACCATAGGGAATTCTCTTCTCCTGGCACTGTCTTGCAGTGATTTCTTCAGGCAAGGGGGCATTCACCAAGTGCTTAGCTTGGCAACCACTCTGGGCTCTTGGTTTTTTTTGCAGGTATTTTTTTTATGTAAATTAATAATAAATAAAAGGGGACAATAAGAAATGGTGGCACTGGGCTAATAGCTCAAGTCCTATGTCCTTGCTTATACTTATGTAGGCCACATAAGACACCATGTGAGCAAAGCAAGCATCCATGACAAATTTAGTGAGTAAAGTAAGCTATGTCTGGGTGCTCCTAGCAACCCTAGCAACTGGAGTGGGCTATGCCTCTGCAGCCATTAGAGCTTGAAATGGCATCTTAGCATCTTATAGAGAACCTTACGGGGGAGCCTCATAGGGCAGAATCTCATAGGGAAATTTAATGGATGGGACCTTATAAAAAGCTTTATATGGAAATTTTATAAGAAGGACCTTATAGGATATCATAGAAGAGCCATATAGGGATATTAAGGTACTAGACTTTATGGGCACACTAGACTTTACAGGCTAGCAACTAGAGTAGGTTATGCCTTAGAAGCCATTGGAGCTTGAAATGGCATCCCAGCACCTCACAGAGAACCTCACGGGGGAGCCTTATAAGTGGGACTCTGATGGGGGAGCCTTATAGGGCAGAATCTCATAGGGGAATCTAATGGATGGGACCTTATAGGGAGCTTTATATAGGAATATTACAGGAAGGACCTTATAGGATATCATAAAAGAGCCATATAGGGATATTGGGGCACTGGACTTTATGGGCACTGGACTTTATGGGCACTGGACTTTATAGTCAGTGCACTCTACAGGCACATGAGACCAAGCACTACAACAAAAACTCAGATTAAGCACGGGCACTGTACTTTACAGGCACTAGACTTTATAGGCACTGGACTTTGTGAACACTAGACTTTACAGGCACTAGACTTTACAAACACATCGGACCAAGCACTGTAGCAAAAACTCAGATTAAGCATGGTTGCGCCGTCGCAACGCGACGGGTGAAAAGCTAGTCACTTGAATTCCGTTTTTACTGAGAGTGACTTTAGCCACGTGGCCTTACCGCGCAAGGTGCATCCACGTCTAATGTCATCGAGCGCCACTCCGACGGCGCCGATTTTAACTTATCCTCACCCCAAGAGCAGCAACGACCTTCGTTTTCACCGCTCAAAACAGGCCATAGATCTTTCATGACATCACTATTGTCTCTTGAGCCTATTCTCGTGAAACGCTCACAGTGGTGCTTTGTCGAATCCAGCGAATTATTTGCACAACAATGACAATCGTTCCTCCCAAGCCTCTTGCTCCAGCTGTAACATACGGAGATACATCTATCGGAGACGTGCAGTAAACATGATATAGTGGGGTATTGAAGAATCTGAGAGCACTATCGTGAACATTGCCTTCACATCTTTGAGATAATGCTCCCATGCCGAGCTGAATTTGGCTCGGTTCATAGCCCTGCTGGGACGTTGCATCCTTCGATGCGACTCTATCCTCGCTCCAACATCGTCTATTAGCTTGAAAACGCGAGCCGATCATAGGAATGCTCCCTTATCGCAAACAGCGGGACACTGGTATTCCTTGAAATGCGGAGAGGCTGTTGGGAGAATCCAGAGCGTACAATTGGATGACAGGAAGAAGGTAATATTTTGATCGTACATTAACATCGCGTTGGCGGTTAGTGTTGAGACATGCAGACCTATCCCTAACATCCGCACTGATCGATGAGGCAATCAAATTGAGTATGACATCCAGACCCTCTTCATGAGCAATAGCTCAAACTTACTTTCCGGCACCGCTGATGAATGCTCTGTCGACACGGGGAATGGTCGATCGGGCGTGCAGGTGCCTTCCCAGTCTCACTCGAGAAAGCCTCTGGATATGTACACGCCGAGAAAACTAATTCGATAGTCGGTCGACTGAGTACATGGCACAATACTGTGCCTTGCCACCCCTGCGTGATGTGCGAAGACGCTACAAGCGGCTAGAATATTCGATTTCAGAACACGAGCGTGCTGAATTATGCCGTTTGCAATGACCCTTCCGTAAAATCAAGCACCTTGATGCGCCTACAACCTATCGACGAGCGCGCATAATCTCAATTGCGGAGGCCCGTCCCGGATATAAGGCATGACGCCGAAGAACGTCGACTGTCAAAAGAAGCGGTACAGAACAAGGGAATGATCGGGTTGTTACGACATGTGTAACCCCGCTCCTCGCGTGACTTTGCCACAGATGTTATCGAGGGCCGGATGAACGACGATAACGACGGACGCACCCCCAGAAGCCCGCCGGATGGTTACAGCCTGGACACATTATGTCTCACAGAATTGATGGAACGAGGCAGAGAAAAATGCCTGCCTGTCGCTGGAAGAGAGGACACGGCCGAACGGAGAAATGATGAACAACCTGCGGAATGCGAACAATGGACCCACCTTGGGCTTGGGTCGGAGCCTAATTCCAGCATGCGAAGGAAGACATCACACCGGCGTCGGAGGCGTTCCTTGGGCTGATTCCTTGGGAAGGTGGTGGGCGCTTCTTCGATAATAAAATCAGAGAGCCGAAAGTAAAAAGTCAACCGTTCACTGTACCACTGAGTCTTACCCACCTCTCCCCTACCAACCACCACAACGCTGTTGAGCCACTCAACAACACAACCTACACACCATCATCCACTGGCTTGGCAATGTCGTGGTGCCACGATTACGGCCGTGACACTGAGGAAGACCTCTTCAGTATGTTCTGCATGTGCATATTATTCGAGCAGGTTGCTACATGTTAACACGTACCCGCCCACAGCTCCTGGCGCAGGCCCGTCGCGCTCCCATGCTATCGACAACGAGAGGCACCGTGAGAGCGACCTCACAGATGATGAGTCAGTAAGTCTAGAACCTTGCTCCAGATTCTTAACACGCCACTCATTGCTCTGCATTCCTAGGATGAGGGCACGTACTTTCTCCAGGACGGGAGCCGTTCTGCACAACCGTGGCCCTATGCCTATATCGTACGTGGGGGACGACTGAATCTGTTCCCTGGAACCTACCTTGAGGTTCCGATGCCCTTCGCGCCATACGCACCTGCCCAGGCCGCCCACTGGGACGATGACAACGAGTCGGCGGGCGCATGGCCATTCCCAGTTTCAGTCCCCACCACTCACACATACACGGAGGAGGATCCATGCCACGTCCCCATCTCGACTATCTCAACACTAGTGGATGCATTGGACCCTATTGAGGTCCATCGGAGGCGCGGTGCGGCAGCGTTCTCCTCGCTGCTGGGCGCCGTCAAGCCGATCCGGGGTCCATGGATTGACATGGCGCGGGAGATCGTGCAGGCGCCTCGCGACACTGTCCTTCGGGTGTTGGCCGAGGTGCCTCCGCAGGTGGTCGTCGCGAAGGCCCCGGGGCCTGTCCCAGAGCTGCCGCCGTCGCCAGAGATCACCACGGAGCCGGTGTCGCAGGAACACTACGTACATGTGGAGGAGGAGCCAAGACGGAAGAAGGCGAGGGATGGGGAGGGAAGCGAGGGGAGGGAGGAGGGAGCGAGTCCGGGAGCGAGCGGCGCGAAGGCGGGGAGGCGCATAGTCAAGAGGCCGCGCATGCCCCCGATCGCGGGGTATGGCCGATTTTCAGTCAGGCTGCCAAGCGACTATGCGGCGAGAGAGAGAGAGACGGCGGGAGAGCGAGGCCAGATGCTTGTGGTCCATCCACAGGCGCACGGCAGCGCCCCCCCAGAAACTACAATAGCATCGACAACATCCACCCATAGGGTGGAGAACCCCACAGGTGAGCCAGTCCCCGAGGCTGTACCGCAGTCCATCGGAGGGCCCTGGACATCGACACCTGGAGAGGAACAGAGAGGCGCGCGAAAGCGCAAGAGGGCAGACCCTCATGTCTGCGACGGCACCGACGGGTGCAGCAAGCGGCTGTCGTGCCCTTACGACATGCCCCGACACAAGGCGACTCTGCGCCACGGAGGACAGCGCGAATTTGCATGCGGCGACTGCCCAGCTCTTTTTGTGCGTAAAGATGAAGTCCATCGCCACAAGCGAGAGCACTGCCCAAACAGAGGCAGGAAACATAACGGCAGGGGCGGTCCCTCGCAGGGCCCGAGACATGATGGTCCAGAGGGCGGCGGAGGGGGCATGGGGGGCATAGGAGATAGCCTGCTCAGTGGATAGAGCTGAAGGTGCGTACCGTTTGCTTTCCTTTTCTCTTCGCTCGCTCTTTTGTTTCGCGGCGCACGCTATCGATGTCTTTGCCTTTCCTTTCCTTAACACCCTCGTTGTTTTGACCAACCTGTTGCGCTCGGATCGATTCGGTTGGAAACTGACTCACTCTGGTTTTCGCAGGACTTTGCTTGTGGTCGACATCGACTCGACGCATCGTCCAGCCCGGTATTGCACGACGAATAGGAAACCAGTCGTTATGTAAGCTATAATACCGCCATAAGTTGCTCATCGTCGACTTCATCTACGACGGCACCTCAGCGACGAGGGGTCGATAAGCTCATCTCCCACGAGGTTGATCACATCTAAATTATCACGGCTTCACATGGATCTGTTGTTGTACAGTCTGTTCGCTCCAGCGCTTCTCTTTTACAAATACCTATCTATTCCTTCTCATATTGTCCTTCGAACGCGAGCCCTGCTGGCATACGGCTACCTTCAACAATGAACTAGACTAGGCGGAGTAAATCTTTCCTCAATTATTTGCTGATTTCGCCCATTGCGGCTGACCGTCAGCTCTGACAAGACTATCGACGCCTGCACTGCAGCAGCATCGAGCTCAGTGTATGGTCCTCTGTCCACTCCATTCATATCGTTCGGAATCCAGATGGGCGAGGCAACGTCAGTGATGGAGGTTAACACTACCGTTGTTGAGAACGAGGCAGACATTTTCGCCCGGTATACATTGGCGATGCCGCTTTTTGTACGCTTGCTCTTTCATCCACAGTTCTCACATGCCATAACGCAGAACTTCCTTCTTGTCACCCTTCCCCGCAACGACGGTCTATCGATCCTCTTCACTGCGCTCACTGCACTGTATCAAATGACGTATGCCGGCTTCTTTGTGCACCTGAACGACATGCTATCTATCTTGCGATTGCGTAAACGTTGAAGTACACGCTTGAGGCTCTGTCTGTTAACGGGGTCGGCTCTGGACTGATGATCAAAGATTTGCTGCAGGGCCGGACGATGTATCTGCGAGTCTCATCATGAATCTGGTGCGTTATTTGGCAATCACTCATGGAAGCAGAACTAAAATCTACCCACTGCTAGCTATTTCGATTTGGAAGCAATAAATGCTATCGCGACGTTGTTGTGCTATTCGCCTTCATTGGAGAATTAGGCGTGGGCGTCATTGAAACTGTTTGGTTACAAGGTGGGAGAGACAAGATATTGCGGCAGCAGCAGCAACATCAGTAAGGCCAGTGTTCATTTGGGCTCTCCGTGTCACAGTGCTAACCGCCCGCATGGCAGTACTGACCCCCGCACTACACCGCATTCTTTCCATCCCCCTCGCTCCCTGCACTCGCCACCCCTACCAAGCTGCAACCCTTCCTGGCGACCTTGTCTATCCCCGCACTGATCTTCTCAGCCTCGACACGCATGCTCACCCCGCTCCTCCGCAGGATGCGCCTCTACACTGCCGGCACCGATGCACTCCTCAGCGGCTGCATTTGTGCGCGTGGCGTGCTACCAGATGTGCTCGTGTTCAACAGCGCGGTGCCGCAGCCCGACGCACCCCCCAAAATGTACTCCTCAAATTCGAGGCCACGCGCGGACGCACCGCTCCCGCCACCGCAATAGATTCTTGCGTCAAGGCGCTGGTTGTCCCATCCCTGATGCGCGCCGTGGCTGCTTGCGTATGCGGGGGAACATCTAGCCGGGATTCGCACCTCTCGCCTTTTCAAGTATATTTTGTAGATCTTTCAAGCCTTAGAATTGTCGTGTAGCCTTCAATAGCATGTATTAGTATTATGATTTGTTAATATATTTATTCTCTATTTATGGAGCACATTTTCAAGCAATTGGTTCATGATAATGAGCTTGAATATACCCGAAATATACCATGAATAAACCTGAAATATACCGTGAATATGCCCAGCCCTGAATATCCCTTGGGGATATTCGAGGGATTTTGTGACTATACCTCGGATATACCACGAATGTACCGCTTCCCTATCGATGGCAACGAAAAATCATCGAACGGTTCAGCGCTCTCGGGGAACACCAGCACCACGAAGCCGGCATCCTCACCTGTGCTGCTCTTTGCGAATTCTACAGTCTCGAAGGACACAGAGCCGTGGCTTGTTTTGTCCGCCGCGATGATCCTTGTGACGTGCGACTCGATCAGGACATCAAGATTGTGGCGGCTCACGTACTGCAGGGGGTCTGGGGATATTTGTGGTATATTTGTGGTATATTCCTAATATACCACAGATATCCCCAGGGGATATTTGAGGCAATGTCCAGTGCCACGTCACCGCACATCGTCCCTAATAATCCCCAGGGGATATCTGTGGTATATTAGCAATATACCCGGAATCAACCGTGAATATACCCACCTCCCCTCCGGGGATATTCACGGTCGATTCAAGGTAATGTCTTGAATATACCGTGAATATACCTGGGTACTGAGTATATTCACAGTATATTGTGGGTTTATTCGAGCTCGATATCATTCCAATCACTTTATATGCGCTCCATAGATAGAGAAATAAATATATTAACAAATCATAAAACTAATACATGCTATTGAAGGCTACACGACAATTCTCAGGCTTGAAAGATCTACAAAATATACTTGAAAAGGCAAGAGGTGCGAATCCCGGCTAGATATTCCCCCGCATACGCAAGCAGCCACGGCGCGCATCAGGGATGGGACAACCAGCACCTTGATGCAAGAATCTATTGCAGTGGCGGGAGCGGTGCGTCTGCACATGGCCTTGAATTTGAGGAGTATATTTTGGGGGGTGCGTCGGGCTGTGGCACTGCGCTGTTGAACACGAGCACATCTGGTAGCACGCCACGCGCACAAATGCAGCCGCTGAGGAGTGCATCGGTGCCGGCAGTATAGAGGCGCATCCTGCGGAGGAGCGGGGTGAGCATGCGTGTCGAGGCTGAGAAGATCAGTGTGGGAAGAGACAAGGTCACCAGGAAGGGTTGCAGCTTGATAAGGTTGGCGAGTGCAGGGAGCAAGGGGAATGGAAAGAATGTGGTGTAGTGCTGGGGTCAGTACTGCCATGCGGGGGGTTAGCACTGTGACATAGAGAGCCCAGATAAACACTGGCCTCACTGATGTTGCTGCTGCTGCTGCTGCCCCGACGACATTGGCACTTGCGTGCGCACCACAGACTCTGAGGCTAATCCAAGCCACCATGCGCATAAGAAACACAGATGCTAGCACCCACACCAACGCCACCAAGCTCAGCCTGTGCTTACCCTTGATCTCATCTATCCAACGTTCATGCTCACACCCACAATACCCACCATTCTGATAATTCTTGCTGCACACACGTCGTAGGCTGTGCTTGCAATCTCCTTCAGTCCCACCCCGGCCCGCCCTAAATGGATGCATATATGTGCTCTGATCCCGCATTTTCAGGCATTAGATCTGATTATATGAGAAAACCGGAACTATAGAGCATATGGAAACATGTTTCAGTGGGAGAAAGACTCACCAAAATATGTGCACACTGGAGGCTCCTAGAGAGTAAGATGAAGGGAGCACTTAAGAGAAATCTCGACGCTGTCCGAGAACATGCACTCATCAGGTGACTGTCGAAATGGATGAGTCATCTCCCAGTTGGGATTGACTGGGGGATATTTGAGGGATATTCCCTGACGAGTATATTCCAGGTATATTCTAGGCATATTGCTAATATACCATGAATATCCCCTGGGGATATTTGGGGGCAATGTGCAGTGCGTATGGCAACAGGGAGTAGACAGCTTATTTCGCAATTGGATGCTGCACTTTGACATAAGTGGCATGGCATATGACTCCGGAAACCCCTTGTTTAAATATTGAGGATTGAAATTTCAACTTTTAGCATCAGTAGATATACCAGCCAGGTCTGGAATTCCACAAGTAAAGTATAAAATAATACTAGCAAGGTATGCATCTGGAAAAACACCCCCTTGTATTAGCTCCAGATTATATCTAATAGTGTCTAAAAGTATCTAAAAGTGTTAATAATATCTAAAAGTGTCTAATTTCCTAATTGGGAGCAACACATTGTGAGCATTGGATTGGTTTCTAATTTCATGATATTAGCACTAATTCTATACTTAGAAGTCTTTAATTATCAGTAGGAAATAGTAAGTACTACTGCTCTATCAGTGAGAAGGTAAAAATGTGGCACATTCTATACTATTTCAGCATATTACTCTTCTTCATATATGCCTATACCATTATCTTGTAGCTCTTTTGCTGATTTTCCAGCTGCCTTTACAAAGGATATAGAAAGAGAGAAATGTGCATTGATGCCCCCAGCCACTTTGTTGGCAGCTTGGCAGCTGCCACAAGAGGCTATGAGGACCTAGGTACCTTGTCCTTGCATACAAGATCATTGAAGTTGTCATTGTTAGCCAATGCCTGATACTGGTCATTATAGGACACAACATGTGGGTTGGACTTAGGGATATGCTATATGCAGCCTTATAGACCTTGTCTATTAGTATAGTGGCTAATACTATCTTGTGCAGCACACAATCATCATTACTATTGATATTACAATTTTTAGCACTATTATATTGTTTATTGCCTTGTTATACAGAAGATGCTCAAACTTGGTGTTTTCCTCTAGCTATTAGGCTGTGGAAAAGACAGTCATATTGGTATGTGGTGCCAGAATGATATATTTGCCTGCCATATAGGAAATATATGCATTATGCATATCAAGATCACCTCCAACAATCTTATGCTTATTTATATATAGGCATGCCATATATATACTCTTGTCCCCACCCTCTACCTTACTAGTGGCTATTTGGAAAACCCCTCTCTCTAATTGGATCTTGATTCTTCATAATCATGTTTTTGATCAAATTTGCAAATTCAGGTAGCATTGTCTATACTAGTAGAGTCCCATTGAATATTACACTCAATCATAGTTTTACACATTCTAAATCCAAATTGTGTAAGTGCAATAATTTATTTTTATCCTATATAAAGTGTATTATTGATTTTCCATTGGTTTATTATCTTCTTAGCTGGTGTTTAAACTAAATCCTGAAAGACCTGACTTTTTAGGTATTTATTGACCTATTTATTTATAAGAGAGAGGAAAGATAAATGTTAAATAAAATCAGAGATGTTGAGGTTGCCTATATTATGTCTACTTATTTAGATTACCAAGTTCATATCTTAGACCTTGGCTTAGTGGCTTAGAGCATCTGTCCCAGGGTTGTTGGTTCAACTCTGGCAAAAGGCAAGTTTGTTATAAGGTATATTCTGTGTTTAGGTATTTAACTAGTGCTCTAATAGACATGACTCTATAAGAAGGCTATGAAAACACTGATGCTTGATTTATTATGATTTTGCCGAAATTTCAAGTTATAATCAATCCTAATAACTTCTAATTTAGGAAAATTATGCCTAATTAGAACAGGTTTACAGGGGGCATAAGTTAAAATATCTAATCTTAATCATTCTTAATTATGCATAAATAGAACTAATTAGAGCTTAATACAAGGGAGTGGTTTTCCAGATGACTTTTTATAGTAAACAGAGCCCTTAAGTAAAATATTGAACACAAAATGAAAGTAGGTGTCAAATAGGTGCCAAGCCCTGGCAGTCAGAGAAGATAAGAAGATAGGTAAGATGTCCATATGGGTTCCAAAGGTGATAAGGTAAAAAGTAATCAGTGATGGCAAAATTCCGAATGTTTGGGATCCGTTGTTGTGCTTGCAATGGCTCTGTGTGCGGAAACACAACACAAAACACACCACTAAACACAGGGTAGGCGGGGAGCTGACTTCACTACAAATATCAAGAGACCCTTGTAAGTTGCGAGACGGGGCGTGAGATACGTACTGCAAGATATCGAGATATCTAGTGAGGTGATGTGAGGTCACGCGAGAATACGCTCGTGTGAAACGAAGTGGTGGACCGTGGGCCAAGGTGCGAGTGACCGAGGCAACTTCAAGGGCAGCAATGAAGGCCCTGATGATAGCGGCGATGAAGGCAATGAGTGCTAAATCGAGCAAGTGCGATGTTGGTGCAATGCAATATGAGTGAGATCTTCGTGCGAAGTTGAGCTCTAAACAGAGGGGTGTTTGAAAACTGGTGTATTGCCGTGTCGTAGGCAGGTATTTATAATAAGTCGAAGTGAGTATAGTAAACGCGAACTCGTAAGGTAAAGCAAATCAATATCGCGCCAAGACCGTAACATAGAAAGATAAAGAAAAACCACGCGCAGAGGTGCTCGCAGACTGCGAGGTTCTGTCGCGCCGCAGTCGAGAGACAAAGCAATATTTAGTAAAGAGGTGTAGCGGTGAGACGAGGTAAAATCTAGGAAGGTGGAGGGGCAATGGATCACGGGACCTGTACTACCCAATAAGCGCCCGTGATAAAGCTCTCTGTGATATCGTGTCGCGGAGCTGCTTGCGGTGCGGTCCGTGTGGTTGATGCTTGCAAGGCATATGGCAAGAGCTTGGCGAGGTCTTTGCGGGTGCAGCAGGCTCGAGGTCGTCATGCGATACACGTGGGGGCTGAGTGAGATGATGCGAGGCGATGACTGAGGGGTGCGAGACAAGACCGCTGATGAGCATGTACCCGCGCTAGGGTCCGAGGGAGGTATTTGGGAAGCTTTGGGGAGATACCGAACAGCGTTAGATGAGTACCGAAGATGCCGACTTGCACTGAACATGGTCGGTCCCCACCCAATCAACTGTAACCCTCCAAAGGACATTTGGCAGCACTTGGGTCAGTTTGCCCACACTTCACGTACTTACCATGACCACACAGGAGTGTTACGATAGGTGTTTACGAGATCGGAGCCAGTCTTCTGCTTCGGCCGATGTCTTCCGTGAGTTGGTTGGTCCTTATCGCTTATTTTCCCGACTTCCACATGGTCGGTCAAACGCAATCTTGCACCATTACTTGGCCACCCTGGTCGTATGATACCTCTCCTTTATTTTCATTGGTTCTCCAACGCCTGTTCCGGCTACCTACACTCGGGCGACGGATCCCGAACGTTCGGGATTTTGCCATCGCTGATTAACTTTTACCTTGTCACCTTCGGAACCCATATGGACATCTCATCTACCTTCTTATCTTCTCGGATCGCTAAGGCTTGGCGCCCATTCGACATCTACTCTCATTTCTTGTTTAATATTTTACTTAGGGGCTCTGTTTACTATAAAAACCTACATACAACTCTGGAATAAACCAGCTTTGTGCACCCTACAGTTCAGAGCTCATCCGCACTCGTCTCAACCATCGAAATCGCCTTCGTCAACTTCCAAAACTTGTCATCCTTGTTCGTTCGGTTGCATTCGTGTTCGTACTCGTATCTTCACTCGTACCCCCCCCGTCCTCCCTCGTATATTGTCAGAGTCCCATGTGGCTCTTGAAGCACGTAGTTGTTGGTCGCGACACAACCCTCTTGTTACCGACCAAGTTCCCGACACGCCCAACCGAACATTCGGTCGGTGTTCGGCGCAGTCCCGAAACCGTTCGGGCACTATAATCCCACACTCCCCGTTGCTTCTCAGTACGCCTTCCCTTTCTAAAGTCATCACTAACAATTCCTTGTGTATTAGATACTAGCTCCAGCACCCCTGCATTAGAGGTTGTTTTAGTGTTGTGCTCGGCACTTAGAGACACCTCTAGCGTAACACCGCATCGGCCCGATACCATAATGCTGAGGTCGTAGTGGGCATTGGAGGGAATCGCTCTGGGCTGCGGGGCCACCCGGTGGTATCTGGGGTATCTCCTGAGGTCAGCATGCTAGTGCTCGTAGATCTGCGAAAAACGGGGTCCCGGCGCTTAGAGAGGTGGTGCGCTCATCACCATTGCCTAAGTGTAGGTAACAGAAACAGTTATTGGCAAGCCAATGAAAATAAAAAAGATGTAACGTACAACCAAGATGGCCAAGTAATGGTGCAATATCGTGTTTGACCGACCATACAGAAGCTGGGGAGATAAGTGATAAGGACCGACCGACTCCCAGAGTACATTGACTGATATGGACTACTGGCTCCAATCTCATAAACACTTATTGTAACACTCCTGTGCAGTCATGGTAAGTACGTGAAGTATGGGCAAACTGACCCAAGTACTGCCAAACATCCTTCAATGGCCCGCTGTCGGTCGGGTAGGGACTGACTGTGTTTGGTAATAGTTGGTGTCTTTGGTACTTGTCTAGCACTGTTTATTATCTTCCCAAAGCTTCCCAAATACCTCCCTCAGACCCTAGCGTGGGTGCATGCTCATCAATATCATTCTAGGAACTGACTGGTTATTGGAACACAACCTGGAAGTCGACTGGCATGCCTATGGATTATATTTTACTAGGTGCCCACCGTTCTGCAAAATCAAAGAAGGACCAATTAAAGCCAAGAGGGCTTTCAAGAATCCAGGACGTCAAGAACCAGAGATATGGCACATAGTGACAGTACCATGAAAGAGTGACTACTCAATCCCATTGCAGAAGCCAGGAAAAGGACAGCCAGGCTGGAAAGTGGGAAACACTACAGTACCATTTCCATGGATAATACCTAAAATCCAGGGCTCGTAACCCAAAGGAACAAAACTGGAGTACTACCTCAGGACCCAAGCCAAGCATTATACAGCACCAAAGTAGGCTGAAGAGGAGACTCAAGAAGTTGGTGAACCACTATCAGCACTACCTTCTACAGATTTAGATAAGAATAGATTATACCTTGTCAGATGCCTAGATACAGGGCAATTGGAAGCCCTGGAGCTATACAACGACCAAGATGAAGGATTCGACATCTATCATACAGAAACCTCCACCGCCAATACACCAGCATGTAAAGTGGAGCCTACCAAAGCAGCAGTAGGCAAACAAACCAAGCATACCAATTTGCAGAAATTGGCAGAAGAGGCTTCAAAAGGTAAACTGACTGGAGATGGAGTCACTGGTTCAAAAGAGCATTTTAGCAAAGTCAGTTGGATGGTTGGCATCCAGAAGATGGGGCTGCATGGGATTAATGGTGAGGATGGAGTTGTGGAGAGATGGTATAGGAGACAGAGGTAATTGTTCAAAGAGCACATGATCAAGGATGGGGGAAATTGGTGGGAGTAGCGATTGGTTCGGCAACAAAGGTGGGTTAAGAAGAAAGTAGAGTCAGGTAGCGACAAGAGCAATGGCAAGATTTTGAGATCAAGATAGTAATAGTTGGATAAATGTTCTGGGACTATATCGGCATTTCCAAACAGACTTCGGTTGGCAAAGGTTTCTTGAGTATTAAAGCTGTTAATAACTGTTTGTTGTTCTTTGCACTCTGCTGTTGGTTGGGATAAGTGACATAGATTCCTTGAGGTAATTTTGAATACTAATCCCTCGCAATGGGCTTCAAAATAATATGTTAGAGGTGGCTCTAAGTCCTAAGCACAACAACAAAACAACCACTAATGCAGGGAGTGCTAGAGCTAGTATCTAATATACAAGGAATTGCTAGTTAGGACTTGAGAAAGTGAGGGTGCACTGAAGAGTAATAAGGAGGGTGAGATTAAAGCACCCAAATGGTTTCAGGACTGCATCAAACACTGATCAAATGTTCAGTTGGTTGAGTCGGGTCAGGGAGTTGATTGGTGATAAGAAGATAGTGTCACAACCAACAACTAAGTATTTCAAGAGCCACATGGGACTCTGACAATATACGAGGGAGGACAAGGGGTACAAGCAAAAAGACAAGTACAAATGCAAATGAGGCTGAACAATGAGGATGACAAGTTTTTGGGAGTTGACAAAGATGATTTTGATGGTTGAGAGGAGTAAAAATGAGCTCTGAACTGTAGGGTGTGAAAGCTGGTTTATTTCAGAGGTATATGTAGGTTTTTATAGTAAACAGAGCCCCTAATTAAGATATTGAATACGAAATGAGAGTAGACATCAAATGAGCGCCAAGCCCTAGCGAACAGGGAAGATAAGAAGGTTGGTGGGATATCCATATGGGTTCCAAAGGTGATAAGGTAAAAGCTAATCAGCGATGGCAAAATCCCGAATGTTCAGGATCCATCGCCCAAGCATAGGTAGCGGGAACAGGTGTTGGAGAACCAATGAAAATAAAGAAGAAGTAACATATAACCAGGATGGTCAAGCAATGGTACAAGATTGTGTTTGCCTGACTATGCAGAAGTTAGGAAGATAAGCAATAAAGACCAACTGACTCCCAGAGAACATTGGCCAACACGGAATACTGGCTCTGATCTCATGAATACTTATAATACTTCTGTACAGTCATGGTAAGTATGTGAAGTGTGGGCGAACTGACCCAAGTGCTGCTAAACGTCCTTCAGAGGGTTGCAGTTAGCCGGGTGGGGACTGACTATGTTCAGTGCAAGTCAGTGTCTTCAATACTTGTCTAGCACTGTTTGGTATCTCCCCAAAGCTTCCTGAATACCTTCCTTGGACCCTAGCACAGGTGCATGCTCATCAGCATGTTTTGCTTGTATAGCATAGGTGAGCTTGTGCAAGATCCCCACCACAAGTCCTCCAAGCTCAACTATGGTGATGACACCCATTTCTATGGGATCGGAATTGCCTAGCTGAAAGCTCATCATTGGGACAAGATCATCCATAAGGCCACACAAGTCCTACATGATAGCAAGATGAAGACAGAGGCCTTCTTTGAGCACCCTGGGGACAATCTCTCCATCATGGACATGGAATCAACACCATTGTCACATAGTGTCATCCATAACGCCAGCTGTGTGCAGAGCATTGAGCCTCAATTAGAGTCTGAGATAGAGGATTTCAGATTGGAACATGGTGAGCTATTCTAGTGTGTATATCAGGTTTTTTTTCAATAGGTATTCAATACTAACACTGTATCAAGACTTTTCTAGCCTCTTGCACACATCTTCCTCACTACCATATCCACGAACACTGTTTCACCCTTGTACAATTCCCTCAACGTACTCACATTCCTCTCAGACAATCAATCCCCACTCAATCTTTTCTAGGCTACATATCAGGTTTGTGTGTGGCTCATGATCTGGCGCACCTGTTTTGGGCCCCAAATTGTCCTCTGTTCCCCTATAATACTATCATTTTAATGGTAAGACTGTCATAAGAAGTGCCTGCGCGAGTCTCCAGTCAGGGTCTGAGCTACCAACAAAGCTTTTGACCTTCATTCTGGATAGACTCTGACAGGTCTGAGTTAAGACCAATCCAGAGAAAGAACCTCCTGATGGCAGAGCCTTGCTCTGACCTCTGTTTGTTCTGAACTCTCTGAGTTCAGAACAAACAGAGGCTCTCAGACCTAAGTCAGAGATTGGCTGATTTGCTGATGCCTCACTGGTGAGTTTTGAGGCCGGTGTGTATGTATCACATTATATCTTGAGGCCGGGTGTATGTATAACATTATATTCTGAGCTGGTGTGCATGTTTAACAATATATTTTGAGGTTGGTGTGCATGTATAAGAATATATTATGAAGTCCAGGAATATATTACATTGGCATCGGGGCCTCCAGATTGCAATCTGATGCAACGATTGTGCCGAACCACCAAGGAGAGCGCGGCAAATGCAATGCCATATATGACCTTGCCTGCAGGCTCTCGAGATTATATAACCCCCCAATCCATCCAAGCCATCCCACGTTTTGTCACTTTTGCTGATGAGGTTCTCATAGGTCGCCATGCCGTATGTCGTCACTCGCATCCACTTACTTCGCTGATAATGTTTGCAAAGCCAACCAATCTCACTCCTCCTGGCTCGCAGTAGCTTAGGCTCTCCTCTCTGGGAACTTTGCATGCGCCTTGCTGCTGCTACAACATAGTGTATGAGTGATCTGGAGTGCTGCACACGTCGATATAACCATCTTTTAGCTTGCCATTGGCTGTGAGTTCCTGCATGATACCGCTCCGACGCCTTCGCCCCTGCATCCTGACTTTGACGCGAAGGTTCCACACGGTAATGAAAACCCACGGGATGCAAGAGTTGCGGCCTAGAAGGAGTGCTGGAAGTATGGGGCCGATGAAGCGATAGGACGCGATGGGTTGGAAGAATGAAAAAGAAACTGCTGCCGGCGACGCTGTGAGTAGTCTTCTCCAGATCTCCATACAACTCCATGATTCTGCCTTTCTTGAGCTCTTCACTACTCCATCATTTTACATCCCATCTATAAGGAAAAAAATACAAGGGTGACAAACGCACCAAAACTCTTCGCCCGCAATTGAGCGTCGCCGCCCGCTAATTCTGACGCATGTCTTGAGCAGGCTCTTTTACATCGTCAAGCCTTTCCCTTGCATGCTCACATGAAAAGCCTGTTTCCAAGTTTCACATAACATCCTGTTGGACAAACAACTTCAAAATTCCACAAATGGGTGTAAACATTCGACATGTGGCCTATGACATGAAAACACGAACGCGTTCAACGCTCGCCGTGTGTCCGTCACGTTCTTTGCAAAAACAATGTGATCCCCACGAGCTTACTTACACAGGCTTACTGGCCAGATGCCAAGCGTGCATTATGCGCCTCGCTCGCGTCGTCACCGTGTGCCGCGTCAGATCCTGCAGTCTGTCTGCTAATTATGGGCGGACAACGCGTTTGAGAATTAACGTCCATTACGGCTGGCCGATATGCAACGGGTTCGTCATTGAAGATTGCGATTACTTTGCCATCTCACTTCTGTACGCTGCCTTGTTCTGTAAGGCCACGAGTCGCTTCGAGCGAGGCCCATCCCTGACGAAGGAAGACTGCAGCACAACGCAGATGGCCAGGAGGTGCACGCAGGGCGGTTCATGGACTTATTCATGATGCCGATATTCTTATAGAGCTATGTTGGACATTATGCGTCGTTTATATGCAACTGTGCAGCTCTTCCATATCATATCTATTGACACTCGATCTCTTATGGCGGTCATATTTGAGAAGGGCTGTCATATCCTGGGATGCAGTAGGATACAGTACAACCGGACGCTGTTGCCAATCTGGTTGTGGTGATCCTGCAATGCATGAGATATCCATCATTACAGTATGGCTGTAAAAAGAACTGTCCCTCAAACCAGGCAACGTAGAAATACCAGCAAAAATTGAACTTGAAATGAGGTGAGATTGGTATAAAAATTCATGGTTACATGGTCTCGGGTAGTCATTTAGGCGAAAGACACTTTGGAAATCTGCGTGCTGGAACGAGCCTACTTCAACTTGGTCATCCCCTCTTCCGTAAGATATTCTGTGCTCGAGTAAAAGCACGGCTGATCGCAGCATTCGGCGGGGTCGGCATTGGATTGCTTGAGGAATTGTCAGCGACGCGCGGACGTTGCAATCACCTCGCCACGCACCGTACCAACAGGGCCTTCGAGCTAGATGCAGAGCTCCCAACGAGCGTGGAAGTGTGAAGTCCCCTGGCTTGTGATCCTCTGTAACGCTTACATTCACTATGTGAAAGGTGAACATGAGAAGAGTCCAACGTACTTTTTCCAAGTGAAACAACGATCCTTTGGGAAAGGCTTCCTGGCTTCGGCCACACGCCTGATTGGACTGTAAATAAACGAATTCGTCAGGGAACGAACAGCCCCACGCACCCCATACCCTCAAGAATGGCTCTGCGAGCAGTGACCTCATCAATCCAGCCCTTATAAGTGTTCCTGATGTTCGACTCCCAAAGGCGCCTGTTCTCCGGCTTGAGGCTTGCCGAGACAGCAGCGTGCTCAGGTTCGAGGTCTCCGTTCGGGAGAACACGAGGGAAAGCACGAAGAGTGTAGAGGTTGATGTAACTGATGTAAGTGAAAAGTCTAGCGTCCAGCTTGCCGTGTCGAACTCCAGTGGGTGGATCGAGGATGTTCGAGATCAAAGAGTCCAAGAACGCTGTCCGCGTTGGAAATCGCAGAGCCGAGTTGGCAGGCGCAAGGGGGGGAACGAGGGAGACAGAGCGGGAATCGTCCTTGACATCGAAGTAAAACCAAGATGCCGGGTGAATATAGATGTCGACGGGATCATCTTCGTGCCGTGACGACTGTGGCAGTGTCAGCTCAAGCCGGATGGAATTAGGGAAACAGCTCCATTGATCAGGGTCCATGAACTCGAAGTCCAACCAATCCTTGTGAGGTTCTGTCAATCGCCTGTATGGCAAACTGGAGGTGATAGCTTCTGCAGCCCTCTCTATGTCCTTGTCAGGGATGAGGAGTTGTAAAGCAAACATCTCGGTGGGGACGAAGTGAGCAAAGCTGAGAGCATCCTCTGCCCAGACTAAGCAAGGAACGCCTGCATATGTGATAGCTCGCGCTGGCTTGAGACGAGTCTCCATGGTCATTGGAGACATAGGACAAGAGTCGTAGAAGTGAATTCCCATGGTTGGTTGGGTGTTGAGAGTAAATCAAGTCCGTGACCGAGAGGTTTATATATCTGCTCGGTCTGATGAGAGCCGGCCTTCCGGGTTCTTGTTCGACAGAAAACGCCACGCTCGTTTCATCATGTTATCGTACATACACACAATCAGACAAACAATCAGAACATCGCAATCCACTTCGATTCTCCGTTCATTCGAGAAGCTCATTCGCTTCCAGCCCCTAACGTATGATCGTGCCTCCTAGTAGCCATACTGTATCAGCCAAAAGTAGCTCGCAAGAGGCGTAAGAAGCGCACCTAATTCGGTAGAACAACGTCCAACTCCTCCAAGAAAGTGCGGTATACCAGATGATCTTCGATGGGTACACGTTCAAAAAAGGCCCTGAGAACATCTTCACTAAGGATCGATTCCTTAAGCTCGTCTGGCATCTTATCTCCCTTTTGCCTCATGACATCGATGAGCTGTAGGACATCGTCCAAATCGTTGTATTGCTTCTGAACAGCCTGGAATGGGCGTTGTCCATATGTACGAATCTTGTCCGCCAAAAGAATGTTCGCTGAGGCATAGCGAATGCCGTCCTCTGTGACGCAGCTATAGGTCTCAAATGCATCATTCACGAGTTCAGTGCGCTCGGTAGCTACATCGCACTTGACGGTGTTTGCCCAGGTGATATGCTGGCGGGTGTCGACGGTGCGAGGGTGACAGACAAACTCATTGGGCAGGAGTGTAGTAAATGCAAGAGAGGATACATTGATGTCGAGATCCTGGCGAAACGCACGAAAATAAGCACAAATGGAGGAATTAAAGTGACAGGTGACGGACTTTGGTGTCGCGTTTGGCACCATGGAGTTTGGCGGCAGCACCGCCGAAGAGAACAGCCGTAACATTGGCTTTGTTGGCTGCTTCAAAGATGAGTTTAGCAGGAGTGACAAGGCGTGGGGGCAAAGCCATAGCGAGTGAAGACTAAATCCAAGGAATGTGTTCTGCAATGGCAAACGAAGTCGATTAAATACCACCACTCCCAGAAATTTGATGACTGTGACCATTTCGTGAGTGGCACCTGTCCTAGCTGCCGGCTGAGCTGGCATACGACATCTATTGGCGGTCTGGTGCACCACTGTGAATCAACTTCAGGCCCTGAGCCGACAGAGTGGACAGTGGATATTATAGAAGGCTTCAAATCCAGGTGCCAGCATGCTGTATAATGATCGAAGTCCATTCAACTACGCCTAGAAGCAATCGAAAATGGCAGCAATACATTTGTTCGAGCAGAATCGGCTCGTGCCATAGAAGCACAGAGGTGTCTTCTAGGATATGAGGTTTCCAGATAATCAGAATCTTCAGATAACATACAGCATGTCAGCCATCACGATCGAAAGGCAATGTGCGAGTGCTCACATTCCACATTGGCTGCCATCGAATCTCGATGCTTTGAACCTTCAATTCAGGATCCACTTTTTGGGAATCATCGGGGCGCCATGGGTACTTACCACAGTAATCACAGGCGTTTTTTGAGATTGCCTGTCCCTGCAGGGTCCCAAATATCCTAGACAAAAAAGACCGTTACCTGTGAGATTGATAGATAGATCAGGAATCAAGGACTGACGCTGACGCATGTGCTCGACGTCTGCACTTCTGACGACAGGCCCTGTCAGGTTTGGACACGTCGGTTCAAGTCAGGTCAACTTTCAGTCTCGGTCCGCCTCCATTTCAAGGATTAATAGCATGATGCCTCTATTGTATCCATTGTCATCGCACTGCAAGATATAGGCATTGTGTATGTGCTTACTCGTTGGAGCATGGAAGAGTTCTGAATTTTCCCAAATGTAACAAGAATCGAATTCTTTTGCCATTTGAACAGTGATCGATCTAGCCCTGATAGACCCTGAACCCTGAGCGTGAATCTTCAAGGCGTGTAGCGGCGTATCAAATGATTCTCTTCGCATGACGTTCGATTATCGACTCTTCCCAAGCCACGGCCCTTCACCAGCGGCGTCTTGCTGTGGTCTGTTCCCGAGACCCCCTCTTTCTATGCCACGTGGGGGAGAACAAGGGCTCGATAGCGACCGAAGAAGTGGCGTGTGTGCAATCTCACTACTCAGTATCCCCTTCGTCAGCTACCACTTCCACAGGAAAGCCGTTCAGTCGTCTTTTCTCACAAAAAAGAATGCTACAAGTTGACGTACATACATGAACCTGTGACGACATTTGGCGCGCAGGAACTGAACTGATCGAGATGTACACAATTGCTCATATCCTCGGAGCCGTCCGGATGTAGCTGATGGTCTCTGTGCTCTTGGCGTTATGAAGACATTATACAGTGGTCGCGGACATCTTGACCCTCGCATGTGACGTCATCCAGCTCAAAGGGTCGTCACGAACATGACCGACAATGCAATCAAGAGGGGTCAAGGCGCGCTGAGCTGTCATCTACGCCAATTTGACGCAAGAATGTGCGTGATAGTAGAATTGGTATGATATCGAAATAACGCTCTAAGCGAATGTGATTACAGAGTCGGAGACGAATTGCGAAGGACATCTATGAGGGGGGCCTCGGCATCAACTCGACTACCAGGTAGAACAATTACACACATAAATGACGCCGGGAACGATCAACGTTTTCATTCTATAGGAGCGCGCATGGAGGCGTAATGAGAAAGGGCAGCCTGCTGAGCTGAGAGAGTTGAACGTTGAAAGTGCATACCGTTCGCTTCCTCTTTCTCTACACTTGCTCCTTTGTTTTGCGCGCATCGCCGCACGCCATCAATGCCTTCGCTTTTCCTTTCTTTACCACCCTCGTTGCCATCGTCTCGCACTTCGGATGGATGCGGATAGAAAGCTGAATCGCTCAGTCTTTTTCGGAGAACTCTGCTCGTGGTCGACGTCGTACAGCCCCGGCAGCGCCCTCCAAGGAACAAACAGCAAATCGACGACGTCCACCTACAGGGTGGAGAACCCCACCGGCGAGCCAGCCCCCGAGGCTGTACCGCAGTCCTTCGGAAGGCTCTCAACGGCGACACCTGGGAAAGAAGAAGAAAACACGCGAAAGCGCAAGAGTGCAAATCCCCACGTCTGCGAAGAGTGCAACTTGTGGCTGTCGTGCGCGTCCGACATGGCCCGTCACAAGGCCAGCCGCGACCACGGAAACCCTGCAAAGTTCAAATGCGGCCATTGTGGAGTCCCCTTCTTCCGGAAGGATGCAGTCTACAGCCACAAGAGGGACCACTGTATGTCCAGGAACAGGCGCAACGGCGACGACCATGGCGACGGCCGCCGCGACGGTCCCTCGCAGGACCCGGGGCGCGACGTTCCAGAGGGCGGTGGAGGAGGTATGGGGCCCATGGGGGGTCGGATGTTCAGCTGGCAGAGCCGAAGGTGCCTACCATTCCTGGAACCTTCGGTCCCAGGTTTCAGAACAGAAGTTAATAAGCGATTTGTCAGCTTTCCCTCCATCCTCCAGCGTCTAAATTGGCGTGACCAAAAATTGTGTCGTAACGCATTTGTCACGACTCGGTTACTCCCGTGTCACTCTATACCCGTTTCCCTGCATTCGGTCTGTCTGTGTCGCCAGGTGTCGCCCTTTTCTGAGTTTCCACTGGCGTCTCAAGGCATCTCATGTGCGTGAGGTCCCAGGTGGTGCCCGGAGGGCTGCGGTATTCCGACTTGTCTTTCATTTTCTCTTTGCTCGCTCTTTTGTTTCGCACCACACTCCATCGATGCCTCTTCCTTTCCGTTCCCTACCCTCGTCGTTCTTGAAGTTCCTTTGCACTCGGATCGATTCGAATGAGAAGCCAACGCGCGATATGTTTCGCAAGGGTCCTGCTTGTGGTCGACGTTGAGTTCGGCATTGCACGACGACTGGGAAACCGGTCGTTATGTAACGGTCTGCATCTTCGACCTGCCTCTCCACGGCGGCACCTCAGCGGCGAGCAGTCTTTTTTATCATACAAGGTTCAATTCCTCTTATCTATTACCTGGGAAGCCTCTTTGCGAGACAGTTGATCCCATTTATTACTCCGTCCAGCTTTGTTGTACAGTTTGTCAGGCTCTATGGCCCTTTCAATATCTATCATTTCGTACATCCTTCTTCACACCCAAACACTCATGGCATGCCACGACTTTGAGGTCTGAACCAGACTAGGCGATGCAAATCTTTCTCTGCATCTCAATCTTGACGGCTGGCCGTCAGGGCTCGGCAATGACTAGCCCAGCGACTCATCCCTGAGCGCTGTGCTCACTCGCTGCTCACGCACTGGACTGTTCAGTCTAGACTGTCTTGGTCTGAATCAATCCCTGCTCCGGAGGAGTATCAAATCTTGCTTGCTCACCCTTCTTTCCTTCAAGGGACGTTCTTCTGAACCACCTTCTGAGATACCGCGCTCCTGCCCAGTATTTCTGACACACCCATCATGCGCTCCCCAGTGCCACCCACCCACACCCACCCACCTATTCATATCTCACTAACAGTTTCCGAGAAGGTCCAAGTAGAGCGCAGGTGGTTCGCAGTCAGCCTTAGCTCCAAGGCCGGCCCCATCGCCATCTACGCCCTCGATGCCCACCGTCCCGAGGCGGCCTTCTCCGCGGCACACCCCACTTCTTTGCAGCTCTTCGGATTTAACAAGATTCAAGCGGCTGCGGCCAGCATTGCGCGCACAGAGAGGATGATCCGGCGCCGGTTCACTCGTGAGTATGCTTCTCTCTCGTCCTCAATTGACCTCGTCCAGGTGCCCGAGGCGACGCCGGTGGCTGAGGTCGAGGCTGCGGTCGATGGTGAGGTTGAGGCGACGGTTGAGAACGATGTGGTGGCTGTCGAGTCGATGGAGCAGGTCGGAGCGGTTGCTGCGGTTGCTTTGGTCAATGGTGAGGATACTGTTGAGGGAGAGGAGGCTGTTGTGAGCGAGGTACAATGTGTCATCCCGGCAGAGTCGCCGCAAGGTAAAGGGACGGAAAGGCAGGGACTATCCAAGGACAAGAACGAGGACACCCTACAGCGACGGACGATACCCGACCTGTCTCTCAAAGGAAGTTTCTTGATGGGATTGGAGAGGCTACACGACCAGGCCGATTTCGAACCCGACGACCCGCGGAGTCCAGGACAGGGTAAGCTCAAGGCACGATCCCGGCGAAAGGCGATAATCCACGTCAAGCCCGTCCAAACCGGTTCTGTTCGACGATGGGTCATTAGTATGTTCATTCCATCATTCAATCGCAGCGAGAATGACCTGGTGCGCTCTCTGTGCTGCTATGAACTGTTGACCGACGATACTGACGACGATGGGCAGGGCGACGGAATGCGTCTTCTTTTCTCTCGGACTGTCGATCAATCTCCCCGGCCTCGAGTTCCGTAACGGTCGCTGGCAAGAGTCGTTCAAGTTTCGCCTGGACTGCTCGCGGTGTAGTGTCTGTTTCTATTATCTGTTAAAGCGTGGAGGTGTTGGGTATCAAAAGATCCCTGGTGCGTCTCTCGCCCATCTGATCAACTGCGACGATACTGACGCAATGAGCAGGGCCACGAAATGCGTCTTCTCTTGTTCCGGACTGTCGTTGGATCTCCCCGGCCGGGGATTCGGTAACCGTCGCTGGCAAGAGCTGCATGTCATGGATCGCCCTACATGGTCCCGGTATAGTATGTAGTTTTGTTTTCTTTCAAGACCGTTGGAGTGAGGTAAGTATCGGGTTATGCATGGCTTGGTGCGTAATGCATTTCTCCCCAGTTACCGTTCACGACACTGACGTTCGCTGGTGGTGACCAAGGCCGCGAAATGCGTCTTCTTTTGTCTCGGACTGTCGTTGGATCTCCCCGGCCGGGGATTCGGTAACCGTCATGGACAAGAGCTGCACGTCATGGATCGCCCGCCATCAGCCAAGTGTGACCTGGAGTGCAGCCCGGTGAGCCTTCCAACCCGTCGGATATCAAGTGTCGCACTCACACGCGAGATGGCGGATGGATGAACAGGACCACCAACCGCGCCTTCTGTTATCTTTGCCTGCCGTTGGGTCCCTCTGGCCCGGGGATTCAGTTGCGAGAATGGGTGAGAGCGGGACGTGATGACGTTTGTTCAGGTTTCTCTCCAGGGATCCACCCGCCGCAGAAAGACGCTCAATAGCGAAGGGGTCCGTCTCGTCCGAGACGAGTATACAGCTATGTTCCACGATTTCTGATTTGAGAATCATCTTGCTGACTCGGGGGCGTGATCAGACCCGCCCCCGGTGAGTTCTTCGTTGTCCTTCTGCCTCTCATCAATGGATACTGATTTCCTTACATCCTCACGCAGGTTCTCTAACGAAGTCACGGCAATGCAGTGCGTACCTTTCTTCCCCTGAGTATGGAGGATGTGTTGTAGCTTTACTTTGATTCGACCGGGTAGATACCGGCTCACCCACGACTGCTTGATGAGTATCACCTCTTTTAATAAATATATATTTTGCTAAAGCAGATATGCCAGACTCAGACCTGACCGCCGCGTCTCCATTACTCCGTTTTCGCGCCGCCCTTCTTAGCGCTTCTGTCGTCTCCCGCGAGCCAAAGCGCCGAGAACAGCAAAAAGCCCACGCTCGTGCTGATGGCCCCCGCATAGTACGGCCACGCGGTGCTCAAGAAGCGCGGGTACCCATCATGGCGCGGCGGGACGACGGGCACGGTCGTCGAGCTAGCGAGGAACGTCCAGCCGTGGCGCTTGTAGTCGACGACGGATTTAAACACGCCGTGCCGGTCGGGCGCGCGGAACGTGACGGAGTACTTTCCGGGCACGCCAGGGACGGCAGGCAGCGCGGTGCGGATGTGCGGATCAAGCATCGTGAACTCGAGCTGTAGGTCGGTGAGGCCGGAGTAGGGCTCCCATGCGGATGTCTTTGCGTTGTATTGGGACACGTATGCGTCGTGGACCTGAGGGTTTGAGACAAGTAAAAGCGTCATTGATATGCAGAATAGGGAAAATATGGTGTCGGGTTGAGCTTACGATTTGGCCCTTGATCGTGTAGTGCTCGCGGGGCTCCGTCTCGTTCAAAAGATGGTGCGTGGTGCTGTCTATCCTGAGAACGAGCTTCTCCTGGGACGTCCAAGCCGTAATATCCTTTGCGAATTGTTCGTTGCCGGACTTGATGCCCCTACATCCCAGGTAAGCAATCCACACGACATCCTCAGGCAAGACACGCACTTTGAAATCTCCTTCGTTATGAATTTGTTTGAGAACAGTTCGACACCCCCGGCCCACATCGCGCGCGACCCGTCGCGCGTCTGGAAGCCAGTGACGACACCGAGCGCGCTGCCGGCCCACAAACCCTCGCCGCCCTTCTCCGCCGCCTCGACGAGCGTATCCGCGGCCGAGTCCGCAGTCGAGTCCGCAGCAAAACCCCCCGCCGGCGCCCCGAGAATGGGGAACAGGAGCGGGTTGTTTCCGAACGCGTGGGGCACGCCGGAGAACCAGATGGGCGCGGTTTGCGGGGTGAGGATGGGGTGCGGCGGGACGGGGATGGGAATGGTGGTGACGTTGGTGCTGCGTTCTGGGAAGTGCGAGACGAGCGGGGTGCCGGGTGGGGGTAGGATGAGAGAGAATTCAGCGGCCAAGGAGGTGAAAGGGGATTGTGTGGGGGAGAGGGCGATGAGGAGGTTGGTATTGGAGGAGAGCAGCGTGATTAGGGATTGGGGGTGATGTCCTGCGCGAATGCTGTACGCAAAGAGGCGCAAGCGCGCAGTAGGACGTGTAGAGTCTGGAGACACCTACTTTTGGTATCCGGGGCAAACAGGATGACGTGTGCGAAGGAGGGTATATCATCCTGGATGAGGGCTTTCGTCCTTTGGAGCACGGAATGTCAGGTCGTATCCCTGTTCTGACGTGGGGTTAGCACACCACGCAGATTCGCAAAAACGTCAAGGGAGCCTCACTTTCAAGACCACCAAAGAATATCGAGAAATCCTCTCTCTTTAAGCTTGGCTGAAGGACGACGAGGACAGAGTTGCCGGTGCTCGACTTGTCCTGTGCCAGCGCAGCAATGCCCAGCAGGAGGAGTGAGCAGAGTGAGCAGCATGGTGAGTGAGTTGTATGCTGGTTCAGTACCAGGGGAGAGGGGAGACAATGTGCTGCAGCTGTGGACGAGCTCAGCTGCTCCAAGTTCCACGTCAATGAGCGTGGTCTATTTTTAGATAACGCTGCTGCGCTGAACCGCGTCGTGTCGTGTCACCGTGACGCGCTCATCTTGCACCTCCGAAAATTCAAAGAAATTCATCTCTTCGTCAGAGCTTGGCTCCTGTAATTTGATGACATCTCGGATGCATTCTGGGATTTTGAACAGCTAGTGAGCTTGAGGAGGCTTATTCACTCGATTTTATCGGCCAGAGGGTCACGCACGTCACAAATATCTCCAATGTCCAGCCCTCGGCATCCAGCGGCAATCTCAGGCCAGACAATGTCTCTCGACGGCAAAATCTAGAATCGCTACGAGAGTCGGCACCAGTCCGCTTTCTTTTCTTCATGCATGTCGAGTGAATAGCTCGCAAGTCATTGCACGATCACAGACTGCCGCCGCTCTGCCGTTTGTCTTATGAAGCCCGAGAGACATCGGTGTCCAACGGCAGACAAGCCGCATAAACTCCGCCGAGGCCGGCGGTCCCATATCCTGTTTATTTGGGTATTTATCTACGCTTCGTCTGACGTTTCTCAGGCCGCTCCTCCTCGCATCTCTCCACGTCCTCGCCGCAAAAATGGCTGTGTCCGATGAGCTCGAATACCTCAAGTCGCTGGCCGCGCAGCTCAATCAGAAAATAAGCACGCTCGAGGCAAAGACAAAGGCCGCCGCGCCCTCGAGGACGCCAGCCAGCCAGCTTCGCACAATTCTCATTGGGCCCCCAGGCGCTGGTACGCCGTGTCTGCTCGCAGCCCGTCGTGTGCCGTAGCATTGTTGTGCTCATTGCTGTGCGTTGTGTGCATGTAGGCAAGGGCACCCAGGCTCCTCGCATCCACGACCAGTTCTGCGTCTGCCATCTCGCGACCGGTGACATGTTGCGCTAGCAGGTCAATCAGAAGACGAAGCTCGGCGCCGAAGCCAAGAAGATCATGGACGCGGGCGGTCTCGTCAGCGACGACATCATGGTGGGCATAATCAAGGATCAGCTGGAGAACAACGAGGCGTGCAAGAATGGGTACGTGTCAGGACGTCTCGCATCCCCATTTCATTCCCTGAAAATCCATCGTCCATCGCTGCATCCACCACGCGCGCTTGGGCGACCCCACGTCAAGCCCTGAGGCCGCTCGGCGCACACACCCGATTTCACCCGTCTCCTGCTCCCCTCCTGCCCCGCATCGTTTCACAAACACGTGTTAACTCATGTCGTCCCCAGCTTTGTCTTGGACGGTTTCCCGCGCACAGTCCCGCAGGCCGAGAAGCTTGATTCGATGCTGTTCGAGCGCAAGGAGAAGCTCGACTCGGTCGTGCAGCTCGAGATCCCCGACGAGCTGCTCATCTCTCGAATCACTGGTCGTCTGATTCACCCTGCAAGCGGGCGCACCTACCATAGGGAGTTCCAGTGCGTCACAAACCCCTTTGGCTCTGTGTCTGAACCTCAGTCACGAACCCCTTCGTTTCGTCTTCTCTAGCCCACCAAAGAAGGCCATGACCGACGACGTCACCGGCGAGCCAATCATCCAGCGCTCGGACGACAACATCGAGACGCTCACCAAGCGTCTCAAGTCCTTCCATTCCCAAACCACGCCCGTCGTGCAGTACTACAAGAACAAGGGCCTTTGGCACCGGATCGACGCCGCCCAGTCGCCCTCGGTCGTTTGGGACAACCTCCGGAAGGTGTTCACCGCCAAGCCGCAGTGACCGGCGTGCTTATACATAGACTACTCACGTTTGGGTTATTTAATCAAAACTGTAGACTTGTTCATGCCGTGTTGTTCCCCTGTTCGTGGCGATATCTCCGAGCTTGAGACCCCTTCGTTGGGACTTACGTGTCCTGTCAAGGTGAGTGATCCGCGGGCAGTGCAAGGCGGTGCAGTCCTCGGATGGGAAGAGATCGAAGGCATGGATGGTAGAGAAAAACTCGCAGATGACGCTCATGCCTTCGGTTCTGGCTGCTAACTAGAGTTGGGGCGTACTGCAGGGCATCCCTGCTGATATACCTGCGAGTCTCGTCATGAATTTGGTGCGTTGTTTGGCAATCGCTTGTGGAAGGAGAATTAAATCTGGCCCACTGTTAGCTGTTCGGATTTAGAAGTAATTAACACTATTGCAACGTTTTTGTGCTGTTCGCCTTCATGGAGTGAGCGTCATTGCAATTGCTTTATGCAAGGTGCGAGACGAGATGATACAACTTCTGAACTCGAGGACTCTCAATGTCGAATTAGGTTTATGAGAAAGTGTCGCAGGGACAACATACCTGTGACTACGAGTGGCGCGCGGCGGTGGTTTCTGAAGAAGCCAAAGCCACCTTACGACGACTCGCGCCTTCGTGCATCGTGTTTGTCCCCGAGATGATCGAAGTCAACGACGCTTATCATCCCGATGGCAAAAAGCTCCGGTTCTCTTTCCATAACGGGCGAGGTGGCTGGGCAGAGAAGCGTGGCGTTTGGACATTGTGTGGCGAATGTTGGTGGCAGCGGAGGTCCAAGCGTTCACCCCCAAAGCCACATTGGTGACCCTGAGGTGTATAAAAGGCTCGCCATTCTCTCCTCTTTGTCTCCATCACTCTCTCTTCCTCCCCACCACCACCACTACCCTTGTCCTCTCTCATGCTGTTCTGCGGTACCCACTGTCCTCTCCGTGCCCTCCTTCATCTGTACAGGTACATCTCATTCACGCCGTTCGCCGTTACTTCCACCACTGAACCTCGACGCGCTCCAGGTTATTAGGCACGATCGCCTCAAGCACGACGTCAGGTTCATAGGTACGCCTTATTGACTACTGTTCGTATATCATCGATGCTCAACGCCGCATTAGCAGGCACGATCGCCTTCAAGCACGACAGCAAGTTCACTGGCTACATTGTATCTTCTGGCGACACTGCTCTGGGATCTGTGGCTTTGGTCTGTGGCATCGGGCTCTATCGTTCTCTGGAGGTGGCTTCGACGTCTGGTTGCTGGTGTGTCTCTCGATCATGTCCGGGTTCTGTCTTACTTGTCTTTCTCGTCGTCTTCCTCTTCCTCCCACTGGTATTTCTCGTCTCTTATTATTATCTCCTGCGCTTTGATGTCCTTGGCTGTGGTCTGCTCGCTCTTCGCTGTCTTCTCTGCTCGCTCTCTGTTCTCGTCTCTCTGTGCTCTCTCCTCAATCTGGTTTGCTCTCTGTGTCTTACTTGCTCCTCGCTGTCCTCTTCGTCCTCGCTCTGTGTTCTCTCTACTGGCTGTGTCTTTTTTCTGCTCGCTCTGGCTTGCTCGCTCTGTTTGACTTGGTTCTCGCTGTCTGCTTCTCTTGCTGTGGCTTTGCTCTTGGTTTCTGTCTTCTCATCTCAATCTTTGCTCGTTTATCTCAGTCTTGTCTCCTTGCTCGTCAATCTTCTCTGCCCTTTCTTCATGCTCGACGGCCCTGGTCTATCTCGGCGACGCTCTCGGTCTCTCTTGCCTCTCTTCCTTCCTTGCTTGTTGTTATTTTCTGGCGTATCTTGGCGACCTTCTCAGGCCATCCTTGGTCACACCTAACCATTCTGTCCCTTAGGTCCCGCACCGCCACACACACCTACTTCAAGCTGCAAGAGATCGTGTCGCCAGTTAGGGGGCGTCAGCCCCCGGTGAGTCCTTACTTCCTCTTCCCGCTGTCGCAACTACTGAGTCGCCAACACGTCTTACATTTCCAGGTACGTCTCCATCCGGCTGTTCATGATTTCTGTCGCCCTTACTTCAAGTTTCAAGTGCCACAACCAGTCCACCGCACAGTCGAAGCCCAATGCTGTATTCATTGGCACGATCGCCTTCAAGCATGACCTCAAGTTCACTGGGCGAAATCAGCAATGATAGATAGGCTAATTCGTCATCAAAGACCCTGAGAGCATTTGAATCACCTGAGGATGCAGTGGCGCTTATATGGGAGAGCGTAGTCAGTCTTGATTGCAAGGGAGGACTCCAGTAGTCGATCGCACTGTATGGACTGGTCAGATCACTGCACCATCGCAATGGTCCCAAATACAGCAGATCAGGATACTCACCTGGTCTCGATAGCGACCTCTCCCACATCACAAGGTTTCACCTGTATCCCAGAAGAAAGAGATGGATCAAGAGTCTGATTCGACGGCATGTGGGTGCGGACTGCCTATGAAGACGCAGAACCCAAGCACTCGAACGGCCGACTATAGCCACGTGGCCTTGCCGTGCAAAGAATGAAGTATTGTGTAGCTCAGTGATCGCAATGACGGCTCGTCTGCCACCACAAAGGTTCTTGCAAGCGGCCTTGTAACTCGGCCACAATGCGATCACGTGTCTATGTCGCGGAGTTCCGTGGCTTCGTGGCTTGCAGCGTTGGTTCAAACGTTCACCAGCAGAGGTCACCATCACAAGCTTGTTCGAAACTCGGGGCCACAGTTTGTGGCATTAGTCTCCAGTACTTAAGCACTTTCTCCATTCCTGTAAGTGATTCATTCAACACCTGTTCTACTGCTCCTGACATGTCTTCGCACAAGATAGCCAGCACTCAACGTTTCAGTGCGATGGAAATATCCAAGGCACCGGCTGAATACGCTCTACTTGCTGAAGAGACTGAGAACGACTTTCACGGACCTATGCCTATAACAGAATTCTTTGACGCTTTCATGAAGACGAAGGATGACAAGAAACCTCCCAAGCGTGCCACCCAAATCTTCAAGAACATACCTAGGGTCGGAAAATTTGAGGATCACTTTGTGCGTATATGTTCTCCTTTGTTATTAGAGACCGATGTTGATTATATCGTATTCATAGAAAGATGCTGTCGAGGCATCTGGAATTTGCCAGAAGCTGAGATTTGTCAACACGACTGACGATCTGGATGCAGACTTCAAACGCAAGCCAGACATGGTTGCTTACAAGAGATCTCTGCAAGGCGGTGATGTAACTGACTTTGAGCTGATGGAACTGTGCATCGAGCGCAAGCCAGAGACTAAGGACCCATTCCAGGATCTCGCTTCCAGTGCGACCTCTGGCGATACAAACACAGTCTTACATCGCTCGCAGGAGGTGACCATGAGTCGAGGACAAATCTGTTCCTATTCAGGCTTGCAGCTCTCGGCGCAAAACCGGTTCTTCCTGTTCACTGTGGTCTTGCTTGGTGACTATGTTCGCTTCATTCGATGGGATCGCGCGGGAGCTATTGTGACTGAACGAGTCAACTGGAGGAGAGACCCTACTCATCTGATTTTGTTCCTTTGGAAGTTCAACCGTTTCAATGACGTGCAACGTGGAAGAGATACGTCGCTCACAAAGCCCATGGCGAGAGACATCAAGAGGGCGAAGAAAGCATTTGACGAACGAGCCAGGTTTCTGGCTAGGCTCCTAGGCGAGGACGAAGAAACGGCCCAATGCTTCTACTCGTCTGATGCCACCTTTCACCAGTTTTGTATCACGGACGACGACACGCACCGGAAACACTATTTCATCGCGTCGAAACCTCATTGGCAGAGCGGCAGCCCGTTTGGGAGAGCCACAGACGGGTACATTGCATATGACATCACCAGACAGAAAATTGTGTATCTGAAGAACAGCTGGCGGTACTTGGAGGATGGGATCGAGAATGAAGGAGCGACCTATCGGCACCTCGAATGATCAGGTGTGACCGGGATCCCGACGATGATTGCTCTCAAGACATTCTGGGTCAAGACACACGGACGCACGAGTACAGTTCAAAAGAGTGGTTTTGCAAGACGACGAATCCTCCGAGGCGACACAGGCTCCATCGGTTAGTTCTGGGGGACATCGGACGGCCCTTGAGCCAATTTAGATCGTCAAAAGAGCTCGCTAGCGCTATGTGCGATGGGATGAAAGGTAAGTCGACGATGTCTTTGACACCTCGCATGCTTACCAACGTCTTTCTGTGCAGCACACGATCTGGCAATTAGATTGGCACGCGTGCGACATGGGGATCTCAGTGCCGGCAACATTTTGATATCTGATTCGGGCAAGGGAATCTTGATTGACTGGGATCTAGCTATGAGGTTGCCAAGCGAGGATAATCAAAGGGTTGACACTCAGGGGCCGCAGGGACCGACGACGAAGTGGCAAACGGTGCGTCATAAGATAGCCATGTAACTCGCCTCAAAAACTGAACTCCTGTTTGCAGGGAACTTGGCAATTCATCTCGGCGGCCCGGCTCATGGATCCTGACAGCACGCGCCATGAACTTCGTGATGAACTGGAATCTGGTCTTCACGTCTTGCTATACACCAGTGTCCGCTATAGAGCCAGCCACCTTACTGTGGCGCAATGTAAGTTGCTCAAGAAAGCCTTTATCGAGCATTTCGACAGCAGATCCGACACCGTGCAGGGGCGAACATCCGGAGGACATGGAAAATACGAGTTTTTTCAACCAATCGGACCTAGTGCCTTCTCTCAAGACGGCCTTGAAAAGTTCCTCAGCGAGCCGCATGCTAGCCTCGTCGAGACGCTTCGAAGATTGTTTGTTCCCCTTTATAGCACAGAAAGACAGTTAAAGCTTATCCCTAGCATGGAGCAATCTCGGGACGCTGCCCTCGAAGTCCTCAAGACTTCGGATCGGTTCATAGAGATCATAGAAGAGCACCTTGAGATGAACGGATGGACGGAGAATGATGTCAGCGATGAGCTGCGTGGCTGTGATCAATTCTTTACCGAAGCACGAGGCCTGATATCTGAGGCACGGCGTAACTCGTTGTTGAGGGCTAACATGTAGCGCAGTAGTGGCTTTGCGGGTGTGGCTAATGCGACGCTAGCGTCCTTTCCCCCTATGGCCGAATCCAATGGGGGAGACTAGTACGCTTGGTAACTTGACATGCTAATTTTCCGCTCTATGCTTTTCAATCCCTCCTCCATGTATATGTGATTATATGTATAACATCTCATGTTTCACTCAATATACCCTTCCCCAAGATCTCTAATGTCAATCCTGTCTCGTTAACCAACAGCCATCGGGCACCTCTATCTTGGACTATGCACCGTACTCTACCAGCAACGCGTTCGACTTTTCGAAGCACCAAACAGGGCCGGCATCAGGTTGCCTCAGGAATTCCAAGCGGCAGGCAGACGTTGTGATCACTTGTTATGATGAATGGATGTTTGAAAAATCAGAGTGTCATGGCAGATGAAGGGACTGCAGATCAAATTTTCAGCAGCGTCTAGCACTGTACTTATCAGATGTTCGTGCCGACTGTTGTCAGAGGAGATCGGATGAAAATAGACGTCAACGGTTGCACAGCTTGGAAGAATTGCGTGATATGGAAGAGCTGCACGGCAATTCTGTGAAGACCTTGTGCCTATGCAGCCACAGACAAATGAAGCGAAATGTCCAACCCAGCTCTATAAATATACTGGCATTACGAACAATTTCATAAAACAACCTACACAAATCGGGCCCGTTCAACTGATTTCGCACACACGACTGACATGACCCATCAGCACTTGTTCCATCTTAATCGTGCCCTTATAATAGATGGTATCCTCGGGATTGTATACCTTAGCATTGTCGCACACAAGCTGAGCGTCTGCAATGAACATGTCAAGATCTTGATATTGCTCCGTCTTGAGTTTGTGCTCCGTGGTTGAAAAATCTGTACAAAACAGTTGACGTCATCGGTACTTTCCCTCTCTGGAATGCTGGAATTGCCTTATATGGGTACTTTCCAGCTGTTCCAGTGCACAAGTTCCCAGTTTTCCAGCAGATTTGCTGGACATTCCAGAAAAGTACATGTTCAGCATTTCCAGCATGCCAGTGCAACTCCGGCTAGAGTTGACTAAGCGTGTCAAAATAAAGAAGGCCAGACTAAGATTCAAACCTATGAGCTATTCCATGATAACAAAGGAATTACAGCCACTGCACCAAATGAATGATAAATATTGATGTGGTAGAAAAAATATAAATACGTTAGCTGGACTTGGTGAATCTCTTCTTGGAAAGAACTACAATATTTTACTTTTTTGGCACTTCTCACTCACTAGAGATGCAACATATTACAAATGGGGATAACTTTATGTGATTGAGGAATCCATCAAGATTTGTTTTAGGCTCATATCTCATATGCTTCAATCAAAAACACAGTATGTCTTGAACAGCCCTGTCCCTGGATAGTTCCTCAAGACTGCATTTCTAGATGTATCTGAGAGCATCTGTAGAGTAAAATAAATCATAGACTTTTACTTGTATAAGACATGCTACATCCTTAATCAGTGAAAAGTGCCAAAAAAGCAAGGATGTGTTACAAATTGCTCATTTAGTAACTCAAGAGTAACAGGTTCTTCCCTAGGTTACACAATGGACTGAGTGGGTGAGGAGTCCTTGACTGTATTAAAAGATTAATACAGGAGTAGTTGCAGATTTCCACTATAGGAAGACAGTGGTAAACAAAGTGTCCATATGGAAAGATATGAACAAATGAAGAGAATGGACTAAAGTTTCTCAGCCTATTCTATGGGCCTTATTACTATATAGGGCATAGGGTAAGAGTCTGTATGCTTTTCCAGGTTCCTATCCTAGGAGAGCATGGGTTGCCATTTCTCTCAGTCAGTGCCTACTCTTGTACTTCTCTAGTTGCACCAATCCTTCTAAGTGCAATGAGGTGCTTGCCCATATGCCCTGAGCCCATGGCATGTGAATGCCTATCTCACTAAGCCACTCTATCCATGACCCTATCATATATCTGTTAGAAGTTAGCCCACTAGCACTATACTTACGATACGGTATTTTCCGGACTTCGTCACTTATGTGACCGTACCATTATCGTAACACCTCAGCATCTTCTGTTCATACGCTGAGGTGAGTATCCTGTGCGCCCTGGTAGCCTCATTGTATCCTAACGTATCATCCTAGGATTATCGTGCAGGTACATTAATACATACACAGCATCTTCTGTTTATACGCTGAGGATTATCATGCAGACTTCTAACAGGTTATAGGCACTGCATTTGCCTAATGAATTCCTAGAAGCATGTTCAGTGATCTTACAAGATCTTCCCACATTGAAGCCGATCCAAGATGGCCACAACCACAAACTCAGTCATCCCCATCAAGCCAAAGTTGAAGGACCAAAAGAGTTACAGCCTTTGGGATTTTAAGATGGAGAGAGTACTGGAGGCACGTGGAATTTGGAACGTCGTTGGTGGTGATACCATCACAACGCCATCTACCGATGACCCAGCCTTACCATCGTGGAAGGAGAGAGATGTGAAAGCAAGGGCACAGATTGCTCTCTACATTGAGGATGCACTGGTAACTTCAATCATGAAGGCAAAGTCGGCGCACTCAATGTGGGAGATTCTCCGCATGCTCTTTGCCAAGCAGAATTCCCTCAATCAGTCACTAGTCGAATCACAGTTCTACTCAGTCTGCATGTCCCCCAGCCAGGACGTGAAGCTCCACCTGGACCTACTACAGGACCTCTACAACAAAGCCGTTGCTGTCGGCTCCCCACTCGAGGACAAAATCCTCATTCACTGGATTATTACCTCCCTTACCTCTGATTATGACTCCCTCATCAGTTCCATCACCGACACGTCCAAGGTGACATCCGAGCAATTGATTGCCCATATCATGCTGGAAGACCAACACCGCTGAGTCTGCGACGGCACCGAAGCAAACAGCGGCAACGTCGCCCTGCGGATGGGCAATAACATACGTGGAAGAGGGAGAGACAGGGGAAAAGGACACGGAAAGCATTGCGGTGGGGGCCGAGGCAAAAGTAAAGGTGGCAGCAGTGGGAGACAAGTCGAGTGCTACAACTGCCACCAGCTAGGGCATTATGCATGCGACTGCCCCACAGGCAGCAGTAGGGGAAGACCTGTAAACAAAGATCAGTCCAATCTAGTGAGCGAGCGTGAGGTGTTGCTCTTTAACTTCTCTTTGCCTTCTGAACAAGCCCTCATGACAAACGCCAAGCCAAACACCTGGGTTGTTGACTTGGGATCATCATCCCATGTTGCAAAGTGGGAGGAGATGTTCGCCGAATACTCGCCAGGCGAGCGCACAATTGAAATGGCCAAGAAGGGCCACACAATGTGCACCGCCAGCACAGGCTCCATCACCATTTCGACTGGGCAAGCCGGCAAGCAGGTAGACTCGGTGTGGCTGCGTAATATGCTGCACACGCCCGACGCGACAGAGAATCTACTTAGCATGAGCAAGCTCGACCGTGCCGGGGGATCAGCTGTTTCCGGAGGGGGCAAAGTCGTCCTGCTGAACAAGGACCACAAATGAATTGGATCCGGGTCTCTTGTCGGAAGTCTCTATTACCTGGATACGATCGGCCGCCCAACAACAAACAATCAGCCCCCTACACCACCACCCACCACCCCCGAGACTGCTTTTGCTGCCACCTCACTAACGTGAGCCTTATGGCACTGGCGTTATGGCCACCTAGGGCAAGGGAACGTGGACCTTGTCATTTCGAAGGGTCTCGTCAACGGGATCAAACTCACATTGAACACAAAGGCACCAATGTGTGAGGACTGCATCTATGGAAAGCAACACTGTAAGCCTTTCCCGAAGCAGGCAGACCACCGGGCAAACAACTTACTGGAATTGGTCCACATGGATGTATGCGGCCCAATGGACAAGAATGGGATTGGGGGCGAGCGGTACTTTGTCACCTTTACTGATGACAAGGCCCGTTTCTCCACCAAATACCGCATGCGGCAGAGAAGCGAGGTGCTTGACCGCATGAAGCAGTTTAAGGCCATGGCAGAAAAACAGACCGGCCAGCTGTGAAAACGCATCCGGTGTGACAACGGCACGGAGTACCTCAACAAAGAGGCTCTTGATTGGTTGAAAGCAGCGGGCATTGCCCTGGAGATGACGGCGCCATACACCCCGTTGATACGCTAGAGGTGGCTCTCAGTGCTGAGCACAACACCAAAACAACCTCTAATGCAGGGGTGCTGGAGCTAGTATCTAATACACAAGGAATTGTTAGTGATGACTTTAGAAATCGATGGCGCACTGAGAAGTAGAGAGGAGTGTGAGATTATAGCGCCTGAACGGTTTCGGGACTACTACACAACACCGACCGAATGTTCGGTCGGTCGTGTCGGCGATTCGGTCGGGAACGAGAAGGTAGTGTCGCAACCGACAACTATGTGCTTCAAGAGCCACACGGGGCTCTGACAATATACGAGGGAGGACGAGGGGTACGAGCGAAGAGACAAGTACAAACGCGAACAAGGCCGAACGACGAGGATGACAAGTTTTCGGGAGCCGATGAAGACGATTTCGATGGTTGAGACGAGTGCGAGTGAGCTCTGAACTGTGGGGTGCGAAAGCTGCTTTATTCCAGAGTTGTATGTAGGTTTTTATAGTAAACAGCGCCCCTAAGTAAAATATCGAACCTGAAATGAGAGTAGATGTCGAATGGGCGCCAAGCCTTAGCGATCAGAGAAGATAAGAAGGTAGGTGAGATGTCCATATGGGTTCCGAAGGTGATAAGGTAAAAGGTAATCAGTGATGTCGAAATCCCGAACGTTCGGGATCCGTCGCCCGAGTGTAGGTAGCAGGAACAGGCGTTGGAGAACCAATGAAAATTAAAGGAGAGGTATCGTACGACCAGGGTGGCCAAGCAATGGTGCAAGATCGCGTTTGACTGACCATGCGGAAGTCAGGAAGATAAGCAATAAGGACCGACCAACTCACGGAGCACATCGGCCAATACAGAATACTGGCTCCGATCTTGTAAACACCTATCGTAACACTCCTGTGCGGTCATGGTAAGTACGTGAAGTGTGGGCAAACTGACCCAAGTGCTGCCGAATCGTCCTTCGGTGGCTTGTCGTCGGTCGGGTAGGGACCGACCATGTTCGGTAAAAGTCGGTGTCTTCGGTACTTGTCTAGCGCTGTTTGGTATCTCCCCAAAGCTTCCCGAATACCTCCCTCGGACCCTAGCGCGGGTGCATGCTCATCACCGTTACAGAATGGCGTCGCGGAATGCCTGAACAAGACAATCGTGGAACGCGGCCGTGCAATGATGCACGAAACTGGCCTTCCACGATTCCTGTGGCCGGAGGTGGTGTCAACATCAATCTATTTAAAGAACCTTGGTCCGACCGTCGCACTCGAGGGCAAGACGCCCCACGAGGTATGGACCGGCCAGAAACCGAATGTCAAACACCTTCATGCATTTGGCTGCAAGGCGCTCGTGAAGATACCTGATGAAAAGTGCTGCAAGTGGGATGTTAAGTCAACCGAGTGCATACTGATAGGGTACTACAGCGACGCAGCCTACCGTTGCTACAAGCTGCGGACTCACAGGATCGTGAAGTTGCGTGACATTGTCTTCTTGGAGGACGACTTGCCGCTGGCACCGCGGAAGCTGCCCGTGGCCGAGAGGGGGGAGAACGACTTCCATGTCGCCCAGGAGCCGCCCACGGACACTCCCCCACCTCCCAAAGTGAGCCCTGACAACCCTACAATGAAGTCGCCGTTAGCCCAGCAACCACCACCACTCGTCCATCCTCCCGACCACCCACCTTCAGAGGGGGCACCAGGAATGCTGAAAACGCGACCAGGAGCCGCCTAGCAAGCGCCGCCCAAGCCGCCTGAGCCCAAAACAAGCACACAAACACCGGCACCCACCCAGTTCACTCTCAGAAGGAGTGAAAGGGCACGAGAGCCCTTGTCATTGAGGAAAGCCACGGACCTGCAGGAGGCGACCGAGCGAGCTCGCAGGGATGCGAATAGAGAGGCGAGGGAGCGACAGAAGGACCAGGAAAAGAAACAAGATGAGGCAGCACGCGACGAGAGGGAGGAGGCAGAGGCAGAGGAACACAAGGCAGCTGTTGAGCACTCGTTGTTCACAGCGGCCGTTGAGGCAGCGCTGTTGATGGCGGGTGAGGAGCCTCGCAGCTACCAGGAAGCCATCCGAAGCACAGAGCGCGACGACTGGCAGAGGGCGATGGAGGAGGAGTACGACGCCTTGTTGAAGAACAAGACGTGGGAACTCGTCAAGCCGGCAAAAGGCCGCAAGCCGATTGGCTCGAAGTGGACCTACAAGGCCAAACAAGACGGGCGCTTTAAAGCCCAACTTGTTGCCCAGGGTTTCATGCAACGCCCCGGCGTCGATTTCCACGATACTCACTTCCCAGTTGCTTGTTTTGAGTCATTTTGACTTGTTTTCTCACTTGCTACCAAGGAGAACTGGCTCCTCAAGCAGATTGATGTCAAATCCACCTACCTTAATGGGAAACTCGACGAAGAGATATTCATGAGGCAACCCGAAGGCTTCCAGGTCCTCAGGAAAGAGGACTAGCTGCTCCGCTTGCTCAAATCTCTCTACGGCCTAAAGCAATCTGGTTGAATCTGGAACAGGATGCTTAACGACAAGCTCCTGAATCTCAGATTCACTTGCTGCTGCTCAGACTCCTGCGTCTACCTCCGGGTTTCAAACAAAGGCTGTACTATCATCATCATTCACGTTGACGACATGATCTTGGCCGCAAGCACAAAGAGGGCAATGATGGAACTCAAGGAAGACTTCCGCGGGCTCCCATTTGAGACTACGGAACTGGGGGAACCGCGCACACTGCTCGGTATGACAGTCTTCCAGAACCGAGACAAGGGCATCATCTCACTCTCGCAGATGCACTACCTCCGTAATATCTTGGAGCATTTTGCAATGACAGACTGCAAGCCCATCTCGATGCCCATGGACCCTAGCACCCACTTGTCAAACGAGCAGTCACCCCGACTCTACTCTGTGGAATGGGAAGAGATGCGGAAATATCCATACGCTGCCCTGGTGGGGGCGTTAATGTATGTGGCACTCGCTATGTGCCCCGACCTTGCCTACATGGTCAACACTCTGGCACAGTATATGTCAAACCCCGGAATGGAACACTGGCATGCCGCAAAACGCGCCCTGCGGTATGTGAAGGGGACATTGGACTTAGCTCTGACATATGGGGGAGACGAGAATGACTGGATCCCTGTTGGCTACACGGACGCTGATTTCGCAGAGAGCTGAGATAACCGCCACTCAATCTCTGGATATGCCTTCTTTCTTGCCAGAGTGGCAATTTCTTGGAGCTGGAAGAAACAACCTACTGTCGCTTATGTGACTGCCAAGGCAGAATACATTGCCATCTCGCACGCCATAAAAGAGGCACTTTGGCTTCACTCACTGCTCTCGGAACTCGGATTTCCCCAGTTATCCCCTACCCTTATCCACTACAATAACCAGGCTAGTATAGCCATGTCAAAGGACCATGTCTACCACGCTCGAACGAAGCACATAGACATCAAGTACCACATCATCCGAGAGAGGGTCGAAATGGGGGAAATCTGTCTGGAATATGTGTGGACAGACGAGAACGTGGCGGACGTTTTGACAAAGGGTTTAGCAAAATGAAAGCATGTCTCATTCTCCACTAATCTAGGCCTACTGCCAGGCTAAGGGGGAGTGTTAGAAGTTAGCCCACCAGCACTGTACTTACAATACAGTAATTTTCCGGACTTCGTTACTTATATGACCGTACCGTTACTATGACACCTCAGTGTCTTTTGTTCATACGCTGAGGTGAGTATCCTACGCACCCTGGGAGCCTCATTGTATCCTAACGTATCATCCTAGGATTATTGTGCAGGTGCATTAATACATACACAGCGTCTTCTGTTCATACGCTGAGGATTATTGTGCAGACTTCTGACAATATCCTCTTCTGATGTCTCAAAGAACCATTGGACTAGCTAGCTCCTAAAAACATGCTGAATATCTTGATGTATGCTCCTGAGTGGAATCACTTAGCATATGATGCTTGGACCATTAGATAGACTGCCCTTGCAAAGTCCTGACAGGTCAAGTCATAAAATTACCCCCTCTCTAAGTCCCAACCTCTGGGAGGACTGCTTGCTGCTTGTAAGCCTCATCATTTTTCCACCAGCAATTGGCTCAAGGATTGGAATGCATCTTTCTGATACAACTTTGTTTTCTAGAGTGAAGACCAACTTATGTTACAAACAGCTCATTTGATAACCCCAAGAGTAAGAGGTTTTTCTCTAGGTCACTTGTAGGGGAAGAGGGGAACAATGGCCTTGACTGCACACATAGCACAAGAGCCAGATGTGTATTGCAGTGATGGGCAATAAGATGAAGGCTATAGTATGAAGACTGCAGGATAACAAAGAGTATTGTAAGAGGACAATACTGAATGAAGAGAATAGACTAAAGAACGTTAGCCTATTCTATGGGCCTTTTATACTACTTTAGAAAAGGGCATGAGAATCCCATATATATATACCATAAGATGTTCCCCTCTCAGAACAACTACTCTTGCTTCTCTGCTTGTCTCTTTCTGACCAAGAGAACAAGGAGCTCTATTCCCATGTGTGAGTAGTTTGTAAGACAGGAAAGGATGCCTGCTGCAATAGGCTTGTGATACTTGACCAGCAATGGATGATCTGCTGAGAGTAGATGACCAAAGATAATATCTGTACCTTTGTGTATGCCTCAGAATATGAGGCTGCCTAGTCATTGTGGTGATTGTATTAGCATAGACTGCCTTAAAGGCCCAATAAGTCATGATCATAACAGTTTGTGACAAACAAACTCTGGACACCAATACTATCTCACCAGAGATGAGCCCACCGTATGGGGACAATACGGCTTGGGATTGGCTAGGACCTCAACTGGAGATGAGCTCACTATATAGGAGCAATACTACTTGGGACAACATGCTGGTAGTCTAGAGAAGTAGGCCTAAGCCTTTGTAAAGCAATCAACCTACTTGTCCATGGACACTACTTGCCATCAAGAGAAAATAACAATCATGGGGATAGACAACTATCCTAGAAACACTGAGATTTGGCCCTTGGAGAAGAAAGAAGAAGAAATTGATGACACGAATTAGAACCCACATGCTAGAATTTCTACTCATCCATACACCACTTGCATTCACACGCCTTTTTTGACACCTATCTAGGCTGACTGGACTGATATCTTGGCTTGAGAAACTAAGACAGCTCATAATAATCGAGGGGTGAAGGAAGAACATCCTATTGGTGAGGGGTTAGGAACACCCCCTTATGGATGAAAAAACAAACAGCCCAATGGAGATGGAAAACTCCTAGAGGGTCAAACAATGTAAGTTGGTCTTCCTCCTAGAAAATGCAGTCATATCCCAAAAGTTGCATCCAGCTGATACATCGTTTGGATCAAGAAAGTAAATCATATGTGGAGTGGCAATGAAACTCAAGGTGTTGTCCTACCAGGTGAATAGGATATAGAAAGGGGGTATTCTTATGATCACAACTTATTGGGCCTTTATGGCAGTCTATGCTAATACAATCATCACAACTACTAGGCAGCCTCATATTCTGAGGCATACACAAAGGTACAAATATTATCTTTGGTCATCCACTCTCAGCAGATCATCCATCGCTGGTTGAGTATCATAAGCTTATTGCAGCAGGCATCCTTTCCCGTCTTACAAACTACTCACACACGGGAATAGAGCTCCTTGTTCTCTTGGTCAGAAAAAGACAAGCAGAGAAGCAAGAGTAGTTGTTCTGAGAGGGGAACAACTTAGAGAATACCTAGGGGTACATATATGGTATTTTCATGCCCCTTCCTAAAGTAGTATAAAAGGCCCATAGAATAAGCTAAGGATCTTTAGTCTATTCTCTTTCATTATTGCACTGTCTTTCTACAGTGCTCTTTGCTATACTGTAGTCTTTGTACTACAATCTTGTTCTTATTGCCTACACTGTAATACATATCTGGCTCCTGTGCTATACATACAGTTGAGACCATTGTTCCACTCTTCCTCTATAAGTGACCTAGGGAAGAACCTCCTACTCTTGGGGTTACCAAACAAGCAGTTTGTAATAAGAACAAGCCCATCCAAGAAGTGCCACTGGCCATTGTTGCTCTTGTGGCTACTGCAGTAAGCCCTAGATATAACTTTATTAATCATCATGGTCTTTGTTGATGCTGCTGCAACATCTATGCTGCTCTTTGTGAGTGGTGTACAGGCAAGCACAAAAATGTTGATTTTGCAGCAAATGTCTATGCTGACATTTATGCCAGGCATAGGCACCCTCGAGCAAATACAAGATGAGCGGGAGCAATCCTACCACAATATAATGGCAACAATCTTCACACAAGCCCAGTAAGCTATATTTCTAATCCTGATCTTGATGAAATATCTTGATAAACTTGTGAGCAGGGGCTCTTCAACCACAACAGGAAGCAAATCAAGCACTGCCAATGCCAGACTCACCCTAGCCCAGATTGACCTCACACGCATGGATGAGGATAACAACAACAATGGTGCCTTTGAGGACCATGCCTGCACTCTCACTAGTGCCGATCGCAATGGTGCTAGCATCATAGGGCTTGCATGAGGTTCAGAGCAGCCACTCGACTTTATAGCACCGTCAGTCTCACACATCATCAGCTGCTAGTCCATTAAGTATCACACTGGTCTCTGATACCCCTCCAATACCCATCTTCTGCACCGTACTTGCTATCCATGTGTTCATTGCTGTCCACACTGCTCACTCGCCACCACCACTCCTTACTAAGGACATGTTTTCTTTACCTAATACTCCCTACAGTCTTTGTTGTAGTGTATAATTATTGTGCACCTAGTGCTAATGTTGAAAATTGATGTCTATTCCTTGCATCAATTAAATCAAAGTTAGAGCTAAACTAACAAGAATTGTCAGGCATGGGGTGGATTGCTCCTTGGAAAATTTGATGTCAATTAGGAATAAATTACATGTATTCTAACAGAATAGAATCTAATGAGCCAACAATTATCGAGGGGGTGAGATAACCTGGCTAGCGAGGAAAACCACTAATTGCCATCAAATTATGGTCAATTCATCCAATTATCGGGGGATGGTTTCCCTGATGCGTCGTACTCTCACACCTTTCGAGTTTGAAATTGAAAGGGTCTTGGTCACGTTGTATGGCCTTCCTCGAAACTGCAGAATTTCCACCGCTTTCTAAAATGACTCTCTATTGTGACTGCAATGAGGGGTTATACAGGCACTCCCTTCTTCCAGTTCTTGAGAGGTGAAGCGGGAAAACGAGACTTGCACCCCCTCTTCGTACCATTCGGATGACTCGCCATAAATACTCACACCAGATTTCTGTTGTTGGATGGCTGCATTGTAATCCTCAACACTCTCATCACTCTTCCAAAACAGACACGGCGCCATTTTCTTTGACACTCGAATATGAACCCGGCCGACAACCGACGTTCGATTGGGACATCTTAGGAGCTTTGCTCACTCCAGGAACTGTGATTCTTTCCTTGGTTGAAGACATCCCTCATAACCTGGTGATGTTTCGCAGCGCAATCGAACGTGCTCAGGGTGTGAAGCACATCTCCCTCACTGATTCCATTCTACCATTGTTTTGCCCAGCTATGGATACGAAGACAGATGCCGAGCAGACACCAGCCGACTCGTTTGTCGAGCACTTGCCTTTCCCCAGCCTTGAATCCATACATTTACATGACTTCCAATCCTCACCCACATCCACTCGAGATCTCTTGACCCGCGTACTCGAACAGCGCAGTACATCGCGGTCTCCTATCCAAGAAGTCGATCTCGACTGGAGCGTGCCGCAGAGGTGGTTTGATGAGCTCAGAATCATCGTGCCGATTGTGTGTTGGCGCGAATAAACAAGAAGTGACCCAAGGGGATAGATCTGGATGAATATCGGGATGCTCTCATATACGAAGCGACGTACGATACAGGGAATGCTGTACTGTGTGTTCTTAGTCTCAGATAAGAAGAAATTTCCATGCAATATAAACGGGACTATGTGGGACATTTGGTGCGAACTATTGCAGAACTAATGTGGACATCCGCTTATACTCCTGTAAGACAAAGCTACCAGGGACATGGCAGCAGCTATGATCTCACCAGAAGAAAGTGTAATGCAGGGAAAACCACCAGGTTCGTACGGAAAGGTTCACTCAATAGTGGTTCAATATCTTATCATATACATCGCCAAAGAAGTCGTTGATAGCACAGTGGGCAATGAGACCATCGTCTGCTCAAACCCCTCCGCCTCAATCAGAATCGTAGGCATATTAACTGGCGAATCAATGGCCAGGTGTCACTAGAGAAAAAGAACGTGTGAGCGGTCAGGGGCTGTGGAAACTGCATGCTGAAGGGACAAATTACAGAGAGTGCCAACCTCCTTGTTGACGATCCCATCTCTTGCAGGATCGTCCTTTGTGAAGGTAGGTTGTCAAGAGAGAATGTCGCCATAAGTGAAGGGCCAGAGGGACAAGGATAATTCGCAGGAAGCGAGATGAGAATGAGAAGCACAGTGAGAAAGAAAAGCGGAGGGAGAACGACAAGCAGGACGAGAATATAAAGCGAAGCGAGCAAGCCAAGAGGAGCGAGCAGAAGGTGACAAGTAGGGACAGAGAGACAAGCTAGAGGGTGTGAAAGACAAGCGCCGAGACAGTTGTAAAAGATGAGAGAACAAGCGAAAAGAGACGAAGGCAGAGGAACCGTCAAACCATTACAACATCAGACTGGGGCAAGCAGGGATGCATCGACGAAAGACGTGATGAACAGCCGAGTGGAGACGTACCTGGAAATGTAAGACGTGTGGGCGACTCAGTATTTGCGACAGCGGAAAGAGGAATGATGGACTCACCGGGGGCTGGCGCCCCCTAACTAGCGACACGATCTCTTGCAGTTATAAGTAGACGTGTGTGGTGGTGCGCGACCTAAGCAATAGAATGATTAAGTGTACTTACACTGACAAGATATTCGTGACCAAGGATGAGCTGAGAAGGTCGCCCAGATATACCAGAAAAGAGAAATAAGCAAGAAAGGGAGAGAAGCAAGAGAGACCCGAGAAGGTCGCAGAGATAGACCAGGGCCGCCGAGCATGAAGAAAGGACAGAGAAGATTGACGAGCAAGGAGACAAGACTGAGATAAACGAGCAAATATTGAGATGAGAAGCCAGAAACCAGGAGCAAAGCCACAGCGAGAGAAGGAGACAGCGAAGACCAAGTCGAACAGAGCGAGGGAGCCAGAGCGAGGGAGCCAGAGCGAGGGAGCCAGAGCGAGGGAGCCAGAGCGAGGAGAAAAAAAGACATAGCTATGAGAGAGCACAGAGAGGTGAGAACACAGAGCGACCAGAGAAGACAGCGAAGAGCGAGCAGAACACAGCTAAGGACACTAAAGAGCAGCAAATAATGATAAGAGACGAGAACTACCAGTGAGAGCAAGCAAGCAAGACAGAACCTAGACATGTTGAAGAGACACACCAGCAACCAGACGTCGAAGCCACCTCCAGAGAACGATAGAGCCCGATGCCACAGACCAAAGCCACAGATCCCAGAGCAGTGTCGCCAGAAGATACAATGTAGCCATTGAACTTGCTGTCGTGCTTGAAGGCGATCGTGCCTGCTAGTGCGGCGTCGAGCATCGATGATATACGAACAATAGTCAATAAGGCGTACCTATGAACCTGACGTCGTGCCTGGGGCGATCGTGCCTAATAACCTGGAGTGCGTCGAGGTTCAGTGGTGGAAGTAACGGCGAACGGCGTGAGTGAGATGCACCTGTGCAGATGAAGGAGATCTTGGAGAGGACAGTAAGTACCGGAGCGCATGAGAGAGGACAAGGGTAATGGTGGGGAGGAAGGGAGAGTGGTGGACAGAAAGAGGAGAGAACGGCGAGGCTTTATAGACTTGGGGGTCGCCAATGTGGCTTTGGGGCCATCGGTTGACCACCGACATTCGCCACGCTTCTCGGCCCAGCCACCTCGTGATCGGCGTGTGCAGTCGGCTGATGGTCGTTGACCACGATCATCCCGGCACGAAGTGCCGCAAGGGTGGTTTTGCGTCTCGTACGCGCCACGCCACTCATGGTCACAGTGGTATTGTACTTGTTTTTCAAATCCTGGATGATTGCAGCCCTTTCCAGCAAAGATTTATACGAACTGGAACGGAATACGTGGATCGGTAGGGAGAGCTCTCAAGTTTAGAAGGTGCATCATCTCGTCTCTCATACCTTGAACCAAACAACTCCTATGACGCCTAGTACTTCGAAGCCTGCAATAAAGGCGAATAGCACGGGAACATCCCGATAGTTGTAATTACTGCTAAACCTAAACGGTTAAGAAGTGTTCAAATTCAATCCTCTTTCCACAAGCGATTGCCTAACAACGCACCAGATTCATTCTGGGAAGGACGTACGCAGGCTGATCTATCGATTCTCTCAGTCGTGCAGGACTGCATGGAGTACACTAGCCACTTTGGAAACAGACAAGGATCCACACCTACGCCGAGAATTCAGTGATAAATCCTTTGATACTAGAGAATGCCGCTCACCAGACATAGGCTCGTCTAGAATCAGCACGTCCGCACTGGCGACTAGTTCCGACCCTCCGCATCTCAGAACCCCTTCGAATTCGCCGCCTGCACTGAGCCCAAATTATTCTGACGCGCCGGGCTGTTCCATGACGTCCTACACGAGCTGTTTTTTCTCCTAGAAGATCATCAAGACGCATTCAACAGCGAATAGGGTCGAGCGAATAGGGTCGAGCGAATAGGGTCGAGGGAAGGACGCGATGTCGTACGAAATCGGGGTGAAGTTCGTGCTTGAGGGAGGCAGTCACAGATTTTGTCTTGTACGATCTCTGTGCCCTCGTATCATGTGATCTGGGCCCATTTTATCGGAAAAGTGTCATAATAGGTGCTGGCTTCGAGGTTGCCTGGCTGTATGTATGCGCGTGTTTCCGTGCAGACACGAATAAGCGTCAATGTCAAGCATAGCTGCCGGGTGGTATGTGAAGACTATGTGAAGCCGGGTGGTACTGCACCTTGAGCAGTCCTTGAGCGTCTCCCCGACTGATTAAAAACCCGCCTGGTCATTTAGACTTCTGAGTCCCAGCAGAAAACTTTCGTCGAGCGGCCTCGCTGTTGTTGCGGCCGCTTTACATGGGGCGTCGATCGTCCCGAACTGGTCGCCCTTGAAGCCCGCCGCGAATCGAGCCTACCTCCCCATCTCTTGTCGACGACCTTAATTCGTCCAGGCTTGTGTGCAACTCGCTCCTTCTCCAGCTTGATGCACTGCTCCTCCGACATCAACAACCCTCCGAGTCTCCACTTGGTCCACCGAGAATACATTCGAAACCTTGCCCTCAACAACTGCATCCTCAGCCTCTACCACTGAGATCGCCTTACCCATCTGACATCAATGCAGAAAAACAGAGTAGCACACCCACGAATGCTTCGCTGAGTTCGACGCTTCGTTTGTCTCATCAGAGCTGAGGGTCAGTTCCAATGGATGAAATCGGTACGAAATCGAGATAGTTACTCTGCTCAGTTTGGTTGGAATTGGCTGTATACCAGGACGGCTC